AACTTCCTGAGTCTTAAATTCCTTGTGTTACTAACATGTACCCACCCCCTAAATAATATGTTTTTACTTGAAGTTTGTGCCAACTTGGTATCAACTTCAAATACCAGTAAATCTCTTGGGCATGTTACCTGGGTTGTAAATGAATCCAGACTCGGATGGGCATTCAGGCAGTGTTGGAGTCCATGGGAGAAGCTTTTCCTGCTGCATCTGGTATTGGGGATGCCTCTAATTAATAAGGTTACACTTCATGGATGCAGGTTAGAACTTCCTACCTTTTATTTTTTTAATTAAAGAAAGGATGGTTGTAGTGAGCGAGTTGGAGAGAAAACTGAATGTGGAGAAAATCTCATTTTGGCCTACTTAGAAGGGATGAATGCTGTAAAGTCACAGAGTTTTAGAAAAATACCAACTTTACTTTTATAATTCCCTGGCACTTGCAGCACGGGAGCAGAAAAGCTGCTGAGCAGCATTTTCAAGGGGAGAACTCACTGCCACGAGGTGTATTTGAAATGAGGATTTTAGCAGGTTTTCAGTGAAGCTTTTTTTTTTTTGGGAATGGAAAAGGGGAGATGGAAAGGTCATGTCAGGAAGAAGTGTTTCTTTAAGTGTCTGGAGCTGTTGAAGAGCTTCTGTGGGCTCTTGGTTCAGTATTGTCATTGTGAGGCTCCTGCTGGCTCTGCTTTGTGTTCCCAGCCCTGTCTGTGGGCCAGAGTTCAGCAAGGTGTGAAATATGCTGACTTGTGCCTGTTCAGCAGTGCAGCTGCCCTTGCTGAACCTGGGATGGCAATTCCTGTTTTCCTGTTACCAGATCAGGTGTCTTGGTTGGGAAAACCCAGCTCACTTGAGCTGCCATACAAATTGTGATGCAGCTCTTGACATGAACTGATTCTCCATGGGCAGCTCTTTAATTTGTGCTGGAAAGGATGGGCTGGTGCTTCTTGCAGGAGCTCAGTGTGTAGGACACAATGACATCCCAGACTGTTCATGGGTTTGTTTTAGTGCTGCCAGAAGAGGGAATGGCAGAATGGAGGGGGTTTCACCCCAAAGAAAGGGAGGATCCTGCTTGCAGTGTCTAAGCCTTGTTGGAGGCTGTTTCCTTCCAAAGCCCTCAAAATAATGGAATTGGTAGAACAGAAAGGTTTAGTCCCCTTGATACAGACATGCTAGATGGAAAAGAAATGTTCCAAAGATTTCCAATCATAATGAACAGAAGTCCTAATTACAAAGGTATAGGTACTTTCAAAAGTTTAATCCTAACTAATTTTGAATTAGATATAAACTATGAATCTATGTCATTCTGCAAACTCAGACTCCTAAGTTACCTAGAGGCAGAGATTTTGTATTCCTTTGAGATTTAGGCATCTAAATCTCATATACATTTTAAACACTTCTGAAATCTGGCATTCATTTCCAATCTAACCACTGATTTTTGTGTGGTATAAAATCACCAGAGCTTGCCTGAAAGGAAACATGGCTTCTCTTCCTGCTCAGTGAAAAAATTCCATATCTCTGTTTCATCAAATCTCTGCTCACACGGGTTTGGAAGGCTGGTGCCACTTCCACAATCAATCAGATTGCATTTCACAATAAGGGAAATAAGTGTGTGTGTGTGTGATTTTAATTTTAGTTTCATGGATTTTTCATAAAATCTGTGATGCTTTCTGGAGTAATGCAGTTACTTCCCCAGGGCAGTGCTCTAATTCACGTTGTTTTGGTTGCTTTCATGGCAGGTAGAGCAATTCTTGCCCTCTGCTTATTCAGTTTATCTCATAGTCAGCCACTGAAGTTATTTGACTGCTCTGATGGGAGAACACAGTGTTTAAATCAACAAATATTGTAGGCTTCATTCAGCCAGGTGCCTAAAGCTGAGCTCTAGAAACCTCCAGCTGTGGAGAGAGCTTATTTTTTGTTGCTTTTCTTTTTTTTTTCCCTGGCCCTGACTTTGCTGCAATAATTGCTTAAATGGCCTTTTAAAGACCCTGAATGCAGAGAGAGAAACAAGAATTGAAAGAATAAATTCATAGTTGTCGTTCCCTCTGCCCATAGCTTTTCAAATAGTTAAATAAAACAGTGAAAAAAGGAGCACTTTATCTTCTCCCAGAATTATTGCTATCAAAAACAAACCCTTGTGCCTCTTTCTGTACACAGGGAGGTCTGGGTGGTGTGAGAGGGAGCAGGTGGAGGTGATAACTTTGGATCCTGCTTGGAGAACCCTCAGTCACTGCTCCTGCAGGTGAGGTTTGTGTCTCTGTGTGCTCCAGAGAGCACTGGGGAGCAATTTTTGGATGTTTTGGAGCTCTCTCTGGAGGCTGTGAGCCAGCAGAACCCACATGGGAGGCAATCCCAGGCTGGGTTGCCTGGAATTAGGGGGAATGGATCTCTTAGTGCAGTGTCTCATCAGGAAAAATGGCCAGAGCTGATCCCAGGGCACTGACCACTTGGGGTTTGGAGAGAATTTCCAGACACATCTGCAAAGATGCTTTGTGCCCACATCTGTGGCTTTCACCTGGAAATCAGGAGCATCAGAGGGACTGTCCCCCTCTTCACTGATGGGCAGCCCGAGGCTGGAGGGCTCAGATGCTGCAGGAGGTCTTTGAGATGCCCCTGGGCAGAGCCTGGTGTGAGTTCAGCACTGACCATCCAGAGGTTGGATTGGATGCTTCACCTCTACTGACCAGGCCTAAGAAAGCTTTCAGTTTGCTGGAAATGTCTTTACATCTCAGATGGGCAGCAAAATCCAGGAAGTTTAGGGAATAATGAGGTTGTTTGAGATATTAGAATGCATCACTTTTAGAATCTAGAGCTGCCAGTGCTGTTATGGCAGGAATTGTACCCAAATCGTTCAGGTCAACACACTGGGAAGGAAATATTAAATATCAGGGCAAGGTTCTTCCCCCAGAGGGTGCTGGGCACTGCCCAGGCTCCCCAGGGAATGGGCACGGCCCCGAGGCTGCCAGAGCTCCAGGAGCGTTTGGACAGCGCTGCCAGGGATGGACAGGCTGGGATTGTTGGGGGGTCTGGGCAGGGACAGGGGCTGCCCTGGGGGATCCTGGTGGGTCCCTCCAGCTCAGGAGATTCTGTGATTCCATGATTAAGATGGACTAAACAAATGTATTTAAAAAGGGTAGAAAAAGGAGGAGGGTTTTTTTCTCAAGGGAACTTGGGTGGCTTTTGGGAAGAGCTGTTCTGCTGAGCTGGGTGGTGCTGGGTCTCCTCCCTGCTGACCTTTGCAGGGAGCTGCCTGTGCTTGGAGCTGGGCTTTGCAGCCAGCTCAGGCACACTGCACTTGTCCTCCCAGGATTCTGGTGGTCCTTCATGCATTAGCCTGGCACCAGGTTCTTTTCAGGTCGGAAGAGACATTTGTGAAGCAGCTGAGGGAGCTGGGAAGGGGCTCAGCCTGGAGAAAAGGAGGCTCAGGGGGGCCCTTGTGGCTCTGCACAACTCCCTGACAGGAGGGGACAGCCGGGGGGGTCGGGCTGTGCTCCAGGGAACAGGGACAGGAGGGGAGGGAACGGCCCCAGGCTGGGCAGGGGAGGGCAGGGTGGGCACTGCTCTGGGAGGTTTGGAGTCCCCATCCCTGGAGGTGTCCAAGGAACAACTGGACGTGGCACTCAGAGCTCTGGGCTGGGTGACAAGGTGGGGATTGGTCACAGGTTGGACTCGATGGTCTCTGAGGTTTTCCATCCTTGATTCTGGGACTCAGAAATGTTTTCCTTGCCTGTTTGAGCTTTCAGGGCAGTGTGAAAGGAGGTGCTGATACCCAGCTCTGGCTGTTCCTCCAGTGTGACTGCAGGCTCTTTGGATCCTGTAGGTGAAAATTGCTTTGATGGGAGCTGGTTTAAATCAATCCCCCCTGCTCTGACAGAGCTCTCTCTGTATTTCTTGTGTTGCTTTTCATAACTGTCTGGTCTCTGGAAGGAAAACAAGCCAAGGAATCCCTAACAGCAGGTTGATGTAATCATTGCACTGAGCGTGCCAGTGAATTGTTATCACTCCAGCTTGCCTGGGGAGCTGCTGGGTTGTCATGTCAGAAACTTTCCTGCTAGTACATGGCATTCAGAGTCAGATTTTTTTCAGCTTGGATTTGGAATCTTTGATGGGACAAAGTCATTGCTGGAGGAACAGGGAAATGTTTGGAAGGGAAGGAAAAGAAATGTTTTATGTGGGCATTGTTGTGTGTGAGCTTTGTCAGGCTGCAAAAACCTTGCTGCATTTGAATCACAGAATTATTTTAGTCTAGAAATGCATTTACCACACTTCACTCCTGTGTTTACTCCTGCTGTTACCTCTGAAATGACACCAAGAATTCTGGTCCTGTTGTGCTTTGTCGTGCTGAAAGAGCCAATTCCCACTGAACAACAATCAGGGCTGGGATAGCCAAGGAGTTATTCCTTGTGATGTTCCCTGTAGCAGCAGAGGCTTGATGTGGACCTTTGGCTGCTGGACTGTGTGTGTGCCATAAAAAACTCACTGGGACAGCCCTACCAGCAAAGCTTTTCCATGTCTGGCTTTGGGAAGGGCTTCACCAGAAATCCGGATGCAAGATGGGGCAGAGTTTTGTTTGCCAGGTGAGGTGTTGACATATGGTCCAATAAATGCAGTTATTGGAAATAACTGAGATAATATTTACCTTGAAAAATCCATTGTTGGGAATAAATGGCCACATCTGCAGCTGAGACAGGTGGGAGTAAGTGCACTGCTGTCACCTGGGCCACCCACCCCAAATGTGGCTGTGTGAGGATCCAGGAGGGCTGGGCAGGTGGGTGAGGGAACAACCTGGCACTCAGTGCTGTGCTTTAGTTGACGTGGTGGTGGTTGATCCATGGTTGGATGATCTTGGAGGTCTTTCCCAACCCTAAATATTCTGGGGATTCTGTGATTTACATCAGACAGGGTACTGGAGGAGAGGGTTGCTCTTACACTGTGAGTGGCTGTACCTTCCCTTGGGAGTTTCAACACCACTTGTGACCTTTTTCTCCTCTTCCTCCCTCTCCCTGCAGGGTTTAATGCCATGGCTGCAGATGAAAGCGCTACAGAAAAGCAAGTGGGGGAACCAAAAATGGCTGTAGACGGTGAAACCAACGGTTCCTGTGAGCACAGCGAGGGTGGGGGCCACCCAAACCCAGCGAAAAACACTCAGGACAACACGAAAGTGAGCCAGCAGGACTCTACTACTAAATTAAATAGGATAGCAGAAAATGGCATTTCGGAGCGGGACAGCGAGCCTGGCAAGCAAAACCATCTGAAAGCAAATGACTTCACACAGACTTCTGTCACAGGGAGCAATGGATATATCCTAACCAAGCAGATGGCACAGGAGCAGCCTCTAAGGACTACCAGCTTTGCTTCTCTCACTGGCCATGCTGCAAAAACCCTGCCTGGAGGAGCAGGCAAAGGCAGGACTCTGGGGTCCTTTGCCCAGCTCCAAGCCACCATGCCAAGCAAGCTCGGGGAGGGCAGTAAGGACACGGATGCTAAAAAAGCCCCCGCTGCTAATGCTGAAGTCAAGGTCCACCGAGCACGGAAGACAATGCCTAAACCCACCCCCAGCCTGGTAATGTACCTGCCCAGCACTCAGCTGCTGCTGCTGGCCTTGCTCTTGGCTTTTCCTGGGGGTGTGAGGGATACCTGGCTGCATGGCAGCACGTGGTGTTCAGAGTTTGCCCGCTGAGTGGATTGGTTTTTTATTTTTTTATTTTTAAATTTTTAAATTTTTTTTAATATATTCATTTATTTATTTATTTTAATTTTTTCTCTGCCTACAGACAGAGATGTTAAAATTGGTGGTCACATGGCCACCACCAGCTCCCGTCCCCAGTGTGTTTCTAAATATATAATTGATCAATTGCCTCCTCCAACAGATCTATGTGAGACACTAAATGGCCTTTCTCTCATGGCTCTATTGCTCATCAGCCTCTGCTGACATCCAGAGCTGCTTGTGAAACAAATTAGATTTCTTCTAAGGTCAACCCAAAGGAAATTAAGCATAGCATGTAAACTTGAGGCTCCTCCTAAGCTCAAAATCTGTCAAGATCTGTGAGGCAGCTTGATTGCATTGCTGTAGGAATCATTATAGGACTAAAAGAGATGATGTTTTCTCTCCATGTCGTTGGGAAATGTTCTCTCCAGAATCCTTAGGGGTAGATTTACCATCACTTAATAAAGCAGAGCCCTGGGTTGTTTTTTTTTTTAGGCATAAGGAGATGTCATTTGGTGCATTCATGTCATAGTGGGGAGGACAGAAATGGGCCTTTCTTTGTCATGGGATAAGTTTGGTTATTTTTTTGGTTCTTTGCCAGAGGTAGGGAATAGATCCTGCAACAGGCAGATCTCCACTATAAGCAGTTGGTTTTCACCTCTGTGATGCTTTATCACAGTGATAAAGCTGGATCCTCTCACTGTGCTGTGTCTGAGGCTGGAGGGAGACTGGCCTTTAGGTCAAGGAGAGGATTAGCCATGAAAGTCATTCCCAGAAATGCAGGGAAGCTGCTGCAGCTTTGGCAGGGTCGGTGGAATGCATTGGTGCTGTGATCCAGCAGATCCAAAGGGGCCCTCAGATGTCCCCCACTTCTCAGCACAGCACTGGTGAGGTGTGAAGGGCTCAAAGCTGTGAGCCCCTGTGGTCTGGAGGAGGAAAAAAGAGAGAAAAAAGGGCAAAGAGAGGGGTGGCACCTCGCCAGCTCCAGATGGGGAAAGGTCCCTTGGCTGTGGCACCACCTGTGCCTCCAGCAGCAGCTGGGAGTCCAAAGAGCACAGCCAGATCACCAACCTGGGGGCAGCAGGCTCAGGAGAGGAGCAGAAGCCACACCTGCCTGCCAGGATTTCCAGCCAGCCCCACTAACCACTCATTTCCCCTCTGCCTTGCCCTGGCTGCGTTTGAATTCTCTGCCCTCACCCCGGCTCTGTTTCCTGGCTTGAACAGAGAGAAATTATTAAAAAGTGGTTTCTTCACAAGAATTGCAAGTGAATTCTGCTGTCCTCATGTGCTTCATCAATCTCCCAGCAGGATGTCTCTTCCCCAAGGAAGGCTTTGGAGCCCAAAGTGCCTCCAGCCTCCCGGTTGTGTCCTGGAATTGGGGCGGGCAAACCCCCAGACTCTTGTGGAATTTAACACAGACAGAGATCCCGTGGGGCTGAGCAACTGAAAGAGGCAATTCCCTCCCTAAAAGGCGACTGCTAGGTTGGGAGGGAGTGTTTCCCTCATTGGTATTTTATGATTCATCAGAGGAATATTTATGTTCAACCCCTTGGGTTTCAAGGTTTGTCTCTGGGAGCGCTGGGATGCTGCTGATGATCCTTCTTTGCTCACAGGACAAAAAGCAGCTTCAAAAAACCAAAGCCTGCACTTGTTGGGCTGCTCTAGAAAGTACATAACCTGTGCTCAGCTCCTCTGGCCATTTGCCTTGGGCTTCAGACAGGGAGAGAAGCAACATTCCCAGGAAGGGTGGTGAGAAGAGGCTGTTCCCATCTTCTCCCCTCAAGCCTCTGCAGCTGAATGGGAACCCAAGATTTGATCTCATTTCTGCAAGACAATAAAACATCTGTTGTGTTCAGCCTTCCTGATAATTACTACCTCATTTTCCCCCATTGTCTCTGGAATTTACATGCTATTTTCTTTGGAGCAGCAGAACCCTTGCTGGTTGTCTCTTATCTATTCCCATTATTTCTTTGTTGAGCTGCTTAGAGGAGGCTCCTCAGCTCAGAAGCTTTCCCTGCACCAATCTTCACACCTTTTCCCCTTCAAAAGCTCCATGAAATCAGGTGCTGTACCCTGGGAAATAAATTGTGGAAATCACCCAGGAGCTGATATTAGAGAACACAGCAGTTTGCTTGGCTAATATTTTTTAGGGCATTATTGTTTTCTTGATGAAACTGTTCTTGCAGAACTGTTCTGCCTGGGAGGAGGAGGGGAGGAAGGTATTTTGCTGCCTGCAAAGTGTGAACGTTTGTTCCCCCTGGCTCCTGCAGAAACCCTTTGGGGCCAAAAAATTGTTTTCTGTAATCCAATAGCTGTCAGGGGACCTTGGTAGCCTTTTCCTGCACATGTGAATTGGTCTCTGAAAGGAAGAAGAGAATTTTCTCACCAATTTAACCAGCTTTTTCTCTGTCTAGGAGTTGCTTCCTGAATTGGGATCGAAGCTGAATCTGAAACAGGTGACAATTTTAATTGATGTTGTCGCATGTTAAGGTGGTTTTTAAACAGAGACCTCAGAAGAGTTGTTGACAGCATCATTTCTGCTCTCCTGAATAGAGCAGTAACACAAGTATTGACCTTTTGGAAGAATCTTTCTTTCACTTCTAATCCATTTTACAGCCCTGTTAAGAGCTCAAAAGTTTCCAGGGCCAGGCAGCAGACTGAAAGGCAAGTGTGTGTCTGTGTGTCCTGTGCTTGGAGAAGGCCCCTCCTGCTTGGGAACCACAGTTTCTGAGCTTAACCTCAGTAAAACATAAGGGATAAAGGATGATAAAGGTACTGAGAGCATCCCGGAGTTACCTTTGGAGACAGGAGGAGCAGATGGATGAATTGGGAATCCCAAGTTGTGTTTCCTTTCCATGGTGACCATGAGGCTGGAGTTCAGGGTGTGTGTCTCTGGTGGTATTTTTTTATGCTGTGCAGAGGACTGGGTCAGGAAATAGTGCAAAAATCCTTTAAATGAGTGTTTGGCCTGATTCACAGTGTGCCCCAAAATGCCAGATGCCAGTTTAACTGGAGGAGACCATGTGGGCAGGGAGGAAGTGCTTGGAGCAGGTGATGCTTTGCTTATGTTGGTATTTCTACCAATATTCACCAAACTATCCCCTTAAGTAGCATTGCCATTAAACACCTGGTCCCAGAGCTTTTGAGCTGCCTCCTTTGTGTGTGCACACTGGTGCTGCTGTGCTGACCTAGGCTGGGCTGCTCTGCAGGAGCCTCTGGCCTAGAGAACAGCCTGTGCCCATGGCTTGGGGTCAGGCAGGTGGCAGCCAGGGGATTGCAGGGGTCTGGGATTGCTCAGCAAGCTCTGACCCTCCCATGTGCAGGAAACATAAAGGAAAAGGTCAGGGCCTAATGGGGGTGATAATGGGGATATTGTGTCCTTGGGGAGGACTTAGAAGGTTCATCCAGGACCCTCTCCAGAGGGGTATCCAGGTGTGCTCCACTGGACTGAAAGAGTGAAGTCTGTGTGTTTGAGCTGGGGCAGAGTTAAATATCATGGGATCACAGAATCCCCTGAGCTGGAGGGACCCACCAGGATCCCCCAGGGCAGCCCCTGTCCCTGCCCAGACCCCCCAACAATCCCAGCCTGTCCATCCCTGGCAGCGCTGTCCAAACGCTCCTGGAGCTCTGGCAGCCTCGGGGCCGTGCCCATTCCCTGGGGAGCCTGGGCAGTGCCCAGCACCCTCTGGGGGAAGAACCTTGCCCTGAGCTCCAGCCTGAGCCTGCCCTGGCCCAGCTCCAGCCGTTCCCTGCCTCCTGTTCCTGTCCCAGAGCAGAGCCTGGAGCTGCCCCTTGGGAGAAGCTGCAGCCCCGGGGAGCTCTGCCCTCAGTCTGAACCATCCCAGTGCCCCCAGTCTGCTCCATCTGAACCATCCCAGTGCCCCCAGTCTGCTCCATCTGAGCCATCCCAGTGCCCCCAGTCTGCTCCTCATGGGCCTCTCCAGACCCTTCCCCATCTTCCCTGATGGGAAATCTCCTTCAGGAGTGACAATGTTGCCACTGGGCTCCTTAAACAGAGGGGTTGCTGCAGAGGGAAGTGAGAATGGAGGCTGTTGTGCAGCACATTAAATTTGATATTTAACTGGTTGTGCTGGTGCTGCTGAGGCAGCCGTGCTGGCTGGAGGTGCTGTCCCAGCTGTGACCACAGCCCACAGAAATAACAGCCCAGGCCCCAGCAGAGGGGTTTGTTTCTGTCAGGAGCCCTGGTGGCACATCTGGCTTGGGCTCCTCTGTTTCGTTTTGACTGATGTGTGACACTCCCTTGCCTTGGAGCAGCTCGGTGCAGGAGGGGACAGGGATGAGAAACACACAGAGTGCAGCTTTGGGCTGCGTTTAAGCTAAGTCTACCTGGCTGCCTAAATCACGCTTTTGTGTAGATATGTGATTGCACTCAGATCAGTGCAATTGTAATCAAGTCACAATGGAATCCCCCTCTAATGGGCACGTGTTAATCAGCAGATATAAGGTGGCTCAGCCCTGTAGCTGCTCTTATCTAGACTAAAACCAAAGCCTTGCAGGTTTGATGCTCCAAGGTAAGGCTTGATCAGGCTCCTGAAATTCAGCTGTGAAAAACACAATCCTACAGCAGCACCACTACAGCTCCTACAGGCACTATCATGTGCTTGTGATCAATTTTTTATAGCAGACTGATATTTCTTGCTTAACCACCACTCACCAGTTGTTAGAGGCAGATCCCCCCGGGAGCTGCTGCTTTGTGCTCTTCAAAGGCAGAGCCTTGGTACAAATCTCCTGACCCTGCTGCTGATGCATGGAGAGGCAGAGCTGCTGCCTGGCACTGCCCTGTTCCCAGTGCTGCTCAGCTCACTCCTGCCCAGTTGGCTCTGGTTTGCAGCTTGTTGTGTGCTGGAGATGAAAGTCCTGCAAAGCAGAGAGCTAAGGGAGAACATAATCAAAGCCTGAGGTGGTTTCAGGCGTTGAGAGCCCTTCTGCAGTGCTTAGAGCTGCCCTGCTCCCAGGCAGCACCTGTGCCTGTGTCCTTCCACCAACACTCTGCTTTCTCTCCCAGCTTGCTGGTTTTAGTGATGGAAAGGTCCTTTAAATACTGGGCAGTGCTAAAAATGCCAAGTGGAGTTTATAGAACCAGCACCGGGGTCCATTACTGAGCTTGGTTTGTTCTGTAGTTTTGCTTTTAGGATAAAAAACCAAAACAACTGAGGATATTCTGTCTTTTGCCATTTTAATAACTTCTCCCTGTTGCTGTCGTGGAGTTCTGTGCCAATAATAGAAATGTGGTAGATCCCATTAAAATGTAGACAGCACTTGAGTTTAATTCTTGTGAGCACATCAGATGCTGTGTTCCTGCCCCAGTCTAAGCAGTTTTCTTGGCCGTATTTCTCACGGTGGGGTTGGACATAGTGGTGGTCTCATTTTTGCTGTTTCCAGGCACAAGCATTGCTGGAAGTGTTGGAATATCTGCCCACCTTCTTCACAGTTCCCTATGTGAAGTTGTGACTTCACGGTCTTTTGCATAGGATGAGCTGATACCACATGAGAAGCTGCAAGAAATGCAGATGTTGGTGTTGCAGTTTCTTTTTCTCTCTCATTTATAGTCCATTCTTGGCCTCCAGTGGCCCACATGTGACCACAGGGAGCTCAAACTGCCTCCTTTGCATGGGATTCTGCTCTCAGAACTTCTCTCAAACTGTGGATAAAACCTGATTACTAAGAACAGCAAAGATGTAACTGTTTTATGTAGCTGAGAACCAGGAAAGGTGGTGAGAAAACTGACTGAAAAATTAGTGCTGATCCTCTTTATTACAATCCTTAGATGTAATATTGTTATACACATGAGAGATCTCTTCTCCCCTTTCTAGGAATTCTTGTTTTTTACCATTGCTGCATATACCTCCAATAAATCTTTATCTCACAAGACTTAATTTGATTTAAAAAAACTTTTAGCAGAATTGCCATGAAAAAGTCATATTTAGCAGTTGTTATGCAGCCTGTTGAAGATTTTAAATTTATTTCTGTGTTGTAATTACAGAGGGAGAGAAAAACCCCCAAGCTAATAGCATAATACCTTTTAATTTAAAAATTGGATTGTATTCTTCCAAGCAGCCTGGCGTGACCTGAGTGTGAGTTCCTGGTGTTTGGGAGTAACAGCACCTTTTATCAAAGACCTGCAGTTGCAAAAAAACTGCAAAAATCTGCACTTAAAGGACACAGAACACAGCCCTTGTTTACACGTGTGTCAGATCTGCCTGTCCCAAGCTCATTTTTCTAATTTTGAGTTAGAAATGGAAAGCACTGGATATTTCAGGGGACTTGGGAATTCTCAGAATAATTGTGTAGCCAAGAGTTACTGTTAACCTTTAGATATATAAACTCAGGACTTTTAAGAGGTATAAATAGTATTGTTGAGACTATTCTTGGCATACTGTGCCCTGCACTCCTGACGTGCATTTTTTAAGGGGTAGAACAACTGAGAGCAGGCTCAGGAGTGATCCAAGATCCAGAAAATGATCCTATGGCCACTTAATTTGCTCATTCTATTAAAATTATTGAAGAGAAAGTTTTTTTTTAAAAGGAGAAGTTGGTCATAGTCCATAAGTATCTCCTGGGAGTGAGAGGTTCTGATGAGACAGGGCTTTTTAATTTAGTTGCAAAAGCATAATGCATTTAATTATTTGACAGTGAGAGCAATTAAGCATTGGAACAACATATCAAAGGCTATGGTGGATTTGTCGTCTTTGAAATCGTTAATCCAAGACTTGCTGCCCTTTTAGAAAAGCTGTGGCAATTGAGCCAGAAGTTATGGGCTTGATGCAGGAATCATTGGCACTTTGATGGCCTTTTGCTGTGGGTCATTTCTGATTATCGTTAGAGCTTTGCTGGGGCTGGCTCTGCCAGCACCACACACGTGGCACATCCTAATTAGGGGAATCAGCCTTTTCCCTGTTTGTTCCCAAGGTCACATTGCTGGGAGCAGTGGCTGGGGGTGCCTGTCTGAGCCTGAGTGCTTTTATTGCTTCCCGCTTTTTATTCCAGCCTTGCTTCTGCCTGGATTCCTCCTTCTGTTTGGGTTTTCCAGCTGTTGCTTCACAAGTCCCATAAGAAGAGTTCTGCAAGTGGAGCAGCACTTCAACCTTGGAATCATGGAGGGTTTGGGCTGGAAGGACCTTAAAGCCCATCCAGTGCCACCCCTGCCATGGCAGGGACCCCTCCCACTGTCCCAGGCTGCTCCAAGCCCCAATGTCCAGCCTGGCCTTGGGCACTGCCAGGGATCCAGGGGCAGCCACAGCTGCTCTGGGCACCCTGTGCCAGGGCCTGCCCACCCTGCCAGGGAACAATTCCTGCCCAATATCCCATCCAGCCCTGCTCTTTTTCAGTGGGAATCCATTCCCTGTGTCCTGGCACTCTGTGCCCTTGTGAAGAGTCTCTCTCTTCCTTGCAGCTCCTTCAGGTACTGGAAGGCCACAGCAGGGTCTCCCCAGAGCCTTCTCTTTTGCAGGCTGAACAATCCAAATTCTCCCAGCCTTTCCTTGTCTTCTGCTGCATGTGCTCTTGTTTTGCTGGAGCAGCTCTGCCAAGCCTGCCTGCTGCACAGCTGGATGCAGTGGGGTAAATCAGAGGTAAATCCAGTGTAAAATGTCACAGCAGAGGCAGCTTTCACCCCGATGTCTGTTGACACCTTGGGAGAGGGCAAGCAGGAACTTTGTTTCATGTTCCTCCATGTGTTTCCTTTTCTCACCAGGTACCTCCTTGCTGGGCTGTAACAGGAAAATGTTTCAGGGAACTGGACAAGGGGTCTTACCCTGACCTTGACTTCCCTTTGCCACACTTGACACAAAAGACACAGGAATAAAAGCACCATTAAACCAAGCCATGTCTGTTTAAAGAATAAACACAGATGGAAAAAGCAAACACAAATCTGGACCTCTCTGTCTGAGGCTTTTAGGGTACATAAAATGGAGTTAGACACTCAGGAAGGGGTTTGTTTCCTAAATTAGAGGAGGAAAACATTGAAGTAACATCAGAAGCTGAGAAATGGCATTCAGGGACATGGCTGAGTGGTGGACTTGGCACTGCTGGGTTAATGGTTGGACTTGGTGACCTTAAAGTTCTTCTCCAACCTAAATGATTCTCTGTGGAGCTGTAGGAACCCTTCTTTCATAACCAGAGGTGCAGGATTTGACTTTGTATTGGGTACAAGCTCAGAGCAGGTGTGAGTGCCTGGGAGGGGCTGCAGGAACAACTACAAAATCCCCTTGGTTTGCAGTAGGAGCCTGGAGCCTGCCTGGGGCTTGGAATAGCAGCAGCTGGAGTGGGAATAGGTGGGTGAAGGGAAGCTTGGACAGCTCTCTGTAGATGCACCTCAGTGTCAAGGAAAGCTGCTTTGGCTGTTTGTTGTGTGCTGGGCTGGAGGGAGGAGCCTTTGCTGAGGCTCAGTGGTGCCCAATGCTGCCCAAAAGGAAAGATCCCTTTCCTCTGCTGCCTGCTCCTCTAAACCAGCTCTGCAGGAGTGTTGCTGAGTGTGCTTGCTGGCACAGCCACGCTCAGGGTGTGTTCCAGGGAGTGCTTTGCTTGAGTTGGTTCCTCTTCTCCAGAGCCACCCAGAGCTGTGTAAAGCAGGGTCTGCTCCTTGTCACGGCCTCTGCGAGGTCACCTGTCACCTGCACAGCCTGGGAGGGAGTCAGCCAGGCTGGGAGTGTTGAGGCAAAGTCCCCTGATGTGCTCCTGCTGGGAGTGTGGTCCTGCCTTCAGATGGAAGTGAACCTGGTCGAGAGAAAGGAATTAAATTAACTTCCTAAATTTTTTAAATTACTTATTCAATGCAGAAACTCAATTTAACTGCTTTTTGTTTTCCAGCATGTAAGTAAAGACCCCAAAGATGGGAGAGACAGCAGAGATCAGAAGGAATCCAAGGAGAAGGAGTTTGAGAACATGCTGGACTTTGTGAAGCCGTTGTCCTTGCCCTCTCTCCCGGGCCTTCACCAGTCACTACCTCAGAACCAGAGCTATGTGGCCACCACCAAGTCGCAGACAGGTAAAAAGGAAAGGGCTGGAATGTTGGAATCCTGAGCAGCTCCCACCTCCCAAAGCTGTGTATGGGGCTGAGAGGGGGATGAGGAGGTTAACAAATATTCAAACTTCTGGTAGTGCCTTTTTGCCACTCAGTCTCCTCCAGGGTTCTCTTCCTTGCCTCTGCTAAAAGCTTTTCTTACAGGAGACACTTTGATCCCTTTTTCCTCTGGGATGTTCTAAAGAGGTTTCTATCAATTCTGTAGGGCTTTGAATATCTCCACAGCTGCTTACCAAGAATTACAGCCTTATAAATAAAATTAATTGGGCTCACAGAATTTTTTAGCAGTCTCTTCATAAATTCTGGTGAAATTTCATTACCATGGAAGATGAAGAAATGCTTCCAAGGAACAGGCTGTGCAAGTGCAAACAATAACAGTGGTGCTGAAGCTGGCTGTTCCTAAAAGAGCCTGCACCAAGCATCCTTCTGTGCAGTCACCAAGACAGCAGCAGGCAGGGAGCTCTGATGTCTGGTTTGATTAGAAGGAAGAGGGAGACTTAACAAATTAAGACCCCATCAAAGGAGTGAAAGGAATCAAACAGACTTCCATAGTAGGTGTGAAATGAGGTTAGATGGCAAACAGCTCTTTATGTAAGGTGCCTTTTCCCTGTGTGTTCTTCGTTATTGTCGGATTGCTTCCATTGTCAGTCGGTATTGTTGGCCTTGCAGTCTCAATTCGAGCAATTGGATTCCATTCAGCCTCCTACAACATCAGCAGCACTGCCAAATGCAGGATGATTTAAGGATTTGATAGTGTGTGTGCTGCTGGAGGGGCCAGAAGGAGGGTGCAGAGGGCCCTCAGAGTTTGGGAAGCTGTTTGTGTGTCTGTACACCCATGTGTGTCATCTCCTGCTTGACTTGTAAATACATCAGTTGGAGTGGGAAGTTTTCTCAGGTCGTGCCCTCAGGTGTGATTTCATAGAACCACAGAAGGTTTGGGTTGGAAGGGACCTTTCAGATCCCATCCCACCCCTGCCATGGCAGGGACCCCTCCCACTGTCCCAGGCTGCTCCAAGCCCCAATGTCCAACCTGGCCTTGGGCACTGCCAGGGATCCAGGGGCAGCCACAGCTGCTCTGGGCACCCTGTGCCAGCCCTGCCACCCTGCCAGGGAACAATTCCTGCCCAATATCCCATCCAGCCCTGCCCTCTGGCACTGGGAATCCATTCCCTGTGTCCTGGCACTCCAGGCCTTTGTCCAAAGTCCCTCTCCAGTGCAGCCCCTACTTCTACCCCTTCTTTTCATTCCTGAGCAAACTTTGGGTTCTTTCTGCTTCTCTTTTCCAGCTGCTGCAGTATCTCGGAAGAAAAAACGGAGAATGGGAACCTATAGCCTGGTTCCCAAGAAAAAGACCAAAGTGTTAAAACAGAGAACAATGATAGAGATGTTTAAGAGCATAACTCATTCCTCTGTGGGTGCCAAGGTAAGGGCAGCACTGAGCCCACTGCACATGTTTGTTGCCATGTCCCTTTTTTTGGACACGAAACCCATGTGGAGGTGCAGGGATGTGCTGGCTTGTTGGGATCAACATCTTCCCTTCTGAGTCTCCATCTCCCCTCTGGCAGCAGCTTCCTGCCCAGGGCAGCCTTGCTGCTTTGGGAATGACTGTTCCATAGTGGCTGTTCAGATACCAGCTCCTAAACAAATATTTTCCAATTAATGTTCCCTCCTGTCCTGTGAATCCTGGGCAACTGGAGAGATTTCAAGCATGCACCTTTTTGTTTTAGTCCTCAGGATCTTGTGTTTCTGCTTGAGGCTGTCTAAAAAACACTTGGTTACTTATAAAAGTTTAGTGGACTCATTCCTGATTAAATTCTACTTTTGCTGTGACCTGAAGTTTTGGTCTTAGAAGTCAAGGAGAACAGTGCTAGGATTTCAAGGAGTGATGGGAAAATCCCAGTGTGATGTAACTTTCCTTTCCATTCCCTAGAAATCTTCCTGCATCCCTGGTGGAGCTGCCCCTCCATGTTGGAATGGGGTTCTCCTCCCCGACTGCCCTGTGCAACCATGCGAGTCTGGAATGACTCCTTGTGCTCCCCAGGTCCAGCAGGGTGAGGTGACACATGGCAGAGCTCTGGAGGGACACAGAGCCAGCTTTAGAGCTCCAAGCACAGAGGAGAATCTGGGATGGATGCAGGAATCTGCTCTGTCCCAGGAATTGATGTTGTCTTTGTGTCTCGTGTTCTTGGGGACTTGCAGAGTGACAAAGACCTGGGGGATGGCAGCCCCCACGTGAATGGGGAAAGCATTGATGTGGACTCTGAAGAGGAGGACTCTGATGAGTTGGAAGAGGAGGATGACCATGGAGCAGAGCAGGCAGCCGTGTTCCCTGTGGATGACAACAGGACCTCCAAGGACAGCGCGTCCGACGCAGACAACGCCAGGAAGGTGATTCCTGTGCCCTGAGCCTGCCTGAGGGGCACGATGGGACCCTGCTGGGGTGTCAGGGATAGCAGGGCCATGGAGTGAAGCAATTTCTAGGGTTTTTTTTTCACCTGCAAGATGACAGAAAGATCAGCAATGGTAGAGAGGCTCTTTGGTGACCAATTCCTGCTTCCCATTGTGCCTGTGAGGATCTGCACACCTCCCGCTCCGTTCAGCCCTACACAGTTCTGGGTTTCACTCTGCAGAATCCCACCATGTGTAGTCCTGGGGTTCCCTGAATTAATGGGAGACATCTTCCCAATCTTGCTTGGGAAAGCACTAAAATAATCTAGTTGCTCTTCCCCTCCAAATTTTGATACACAGCACAGGCATGAGCCTAGTTTGGGATTATCAAAGAAGTTGAAATTTAGTTGGAAAACTTTATTCTGGAATCGATTTTTTTTTTGTTCTCCCTCTACCATCCCCATGGACGTTCCATGATGTGATTGGAGCTCTCTGAGCTCAGTGCATGTGCAGGTTGGGGCTGGAGGGTGCTCTGATGTGTGTGGGGCACAGCAGGGTGGTGGGGGATGCTCTGCTTTGGGAGACCTGCCCTGACTGACCCATTCTGTTCTTGGGCAAATGGTGACTGCAGATCGATGATGGCGAGTCTGAGGAAGAACAAGAATCTGTAGAATCTGGGGAGGAGGAGGAGGATGGAGACGAGTCTGACTTGGTAAGCTGGGCTGCTAAATGTGTTTTTCAGCCCGTGAACTGTTGACAATAATTTTTCCCCTTTGCACTGCTGCCAGAAAGAGAGAGAGAGCAAAGCCAAAGTGGTGCAGTTTCAAGTCTCCTTGACAAAACTCATTCTCTGAAACCACCCACACACGGGTATTGTTTTCCACAAGGTGCTTAACCCTGATCCCGTGGCACAATTAATTGCATTCTGATGTTAACTAATGGGCTTTTGTTGTTTTCAACAAGGTGCTGACTGCTTTTGATCATTCGAAGGTTAGCAGAGGTGTTTAAGGGTGCTTGAGTTGCTCAGATGCAGGTTTGGCACAGTGGTAGGAACCAGCAAAGCTTTCTCACCAACCTGAACTTCTGCTGGGGTGGGGTTGTTCCCAGATCCACTGGCCCAGCCCACAGCCTAAATTCACTGTTCCTGATGAGCAGCTCTTACCAGGGAGACAAACAGCACTCAGACAGACAGACAGACACTCTCCCTGGGACCTTGGTCGAACAGCAACAGGTCAAGACTTTCAGCAGCTGCTGGGGATTTCTACTTTTTATTTTTAGACAGTTGGTGAAGAGAACCTGATGATTTTTAAATTTAAATTGTTCGTTAATTATCTCTGTGCACCTCCCTCCCCTTTCCTTAAAAACTGTCTTTCCACAGCCTCTCAAGTTGAGGATCCAGCATTTAAGGCACCCTAACTCTTCAGTGACCTTGAGAAAATTCTTGTGTTTTGAGCTGAAGATAGAATCATGCACACAAAACACATCAAGTGAATCACTGAAGCTCTTTAGGGTCTTGTTCCCCATGCTCTGACCCTCCAGGAGCCCGGGAGGAGCAGGGGCTGTGCAGCCTGTCCCTGTTTGGGTAAATGAGCCCACACCAAGGGTTGGGCTGGGACTTGCATCCAAACTCCCAGGTGGGATTTCCACATCCTGGACAGAGGTTTGAGCTCTGCTGAGTCACTCAGCTCCCAGCCACCCCTGGCTCACACACAAACCTCTCTCCCACGAGCAGAGTGATGCAGTTGGGGTAAAGCCACGTGCTGAGCCCACACTCGGGGATTTTGGGGCAGCACAGATACCCTGGAGAGCCAGGGCTCAGCTCCACGTGTTCCCTCACTGGGAGAGCAGGGCCTGGCACAGCTGCTGGTGGTGCTACCAGGAGGTTTTTCCAAGGCTTTGCTGGCAGCTGGATAGGAATCAGGAGCTGACAGTTTCAGTCTGAACATGAATTTTATGATTGATGCATTAAACCCTGGCAGGGTTGGGGTGCCTGATTCCTGTTCTGATGTTGACTTTGAAGCCCCACCCCAGACAAGTGAATTTTTTTAAACCAAACCCGAGACTGGTGAGATTGATACATGTGGCTGAGTATTTGCTGCATGGTTGGTCTGTGCAGTTCAGTTCCCCTGGGTCCACTCCAGCCCTGCCAGGTGGCTCTTCAAGTGCAAGATGGTTTTGTTTTTTTTTTTGTGGAGAAATACGAATTTTTTCGTTTGAAAACCCAACTGCCAGAGTTCAAGAAGCATTGGGACAACCCTCTGAGGCACAGGGTGGGATGTTTGTGCACGACCAGGAGCTGGACTTGCTGATCTTTGTGGGTCCCTTCCAGCTCAGGAGATTGTGTGATTCTACAATAATTTCTGGGAGAAGCTGGAAGTGTGCATGTGCCTGCCCACTTGCAGTGCTGCTGGTGAGCGTGGTGTGAGGGCCTCCATGCAAGAGAAAGTGCAGCCTGCCCTGCTGAACTGACAGGAAATCCACCCACACGTGTGCCTGAGTTTCCTTTTCAGTGCTATAAAGGCATCTTAGCACCCCTTGGTTTCAAACCCCTGGTTCTTCTCACACAACTCGAGCTGGGTGAGGGCTGTTCCACAAAGGGACCCTGGTGCCACCATGCCTGACATGCACGTGGCCTCTCTGGTTCCTCAGAGCTCCGAGTCCAGTGTCAAGAAGAAGCTGCTGAAGAGGAAAGGGAAGACAGACAGTCCATGGCTGAAACCCACCCGCAAGAGGAGGCGGAGGAATAAAAAGAAACAAGGCGGTGTGCTAGGTAATTCATGGGGCTTTGTTCCTTCATTCCACCCCAGTGAGCCTTCCAGGTGCAGGCCTCTAAGTGTGCAGGGCTCACTCTTCCTTCCTGAGGTTGGGCTGTGTGATGAGCCAGGCTGTGAACTTGCCCCTGGCTGGCAGGAGCTGCTGGTGTCACTGCAACAGCAGAACACGTGGCTTTGGCCTTGGAATGCTGGAGGAATTTTATTTTGTTCACTAATCCCTTTATTTTAGAGTATGCAAAAAAGGCCTCGTGGGCCTTACAAAAAGGAGGAAGAGGAATTTTGTATGGGGAAATAGTGACAGGACAAGGGAGAATGGCTTCAGACTGAAAGATGGGAAATTGATGTTACCTGTACAGGAGAAATTGTTCCCTGGGAAGGAGGAGAGGCCCTGGCACAGGGTGCCCAGAGCAGCTGTGGCTGCCCCTGGATCCCTGGCAGTGCCCAAGGCCAGGTTGGACATTGGGGCTTGGAGCAGCCTGGGACAGTGGGAGGGGTCCCTGCCATGGCAGGGTTTGGAATGGGATGGGATTTAAGGCCCCTTCCAACCCAAACCAGGGATTCTGTGATGTGTCCCTGGGGACTCCTGTCCCATGAGCCCATGAGCCCAAGGGAGCAGATTTAGATGCAGAAGGAAGAGACAGAAGCACCCTGGATTGGTGCTCCATGGCTTTTGTGTGGATGCTTGTGCAGCTGAATGGAGTGTGTGGGTTTGTTTGCTCCTTGTGGAAGAACCACGAGGTTTGGAAGGAGCTCGGTCCCATCTCAAGTTGTGGGTGTTGTTCAGGGGGTCCCTCTTGTTTGTCCTGAGTCACTGAGCACCAGAGAAGGTTTCAGTGAGCTCTGCTGGGAGATAAGGAGAGGCAGGAGTGCAGGCTGGATGTGATGGTTCTTCTTTGGGAAAGGTAACAACATGGGAGAGATAAAGTGGATAGTGCAGCTGTGCCTTCAGCCTTATTGCTAAGGTTTCATCCACTGCCACCAAAGGGTTTATTTTTATTCTCCTGGGTTTGCTCATTCAATGCAAAAAGGTCATTTTTGTATCAGCAGCTTTTGGTACTTCTGAGTCAATTGAGCATTTTTCAGCCCCTGCTCTGTGCCTGGGCTCTGTCACTCACCTGGCTCCCTCCTCTTCCTCCCAGGTTGCCATAGGGACCCTTGATCCCTGTCACAGCAAATACCTAATCCTACATTTCAGATGCAGACTGGTTTTCTGCCCCTTTGGTAAAGGTGGGAGCTGCTCTTAAAGCACAACCAAACTGTCTTGGCCAAGCTGGAGTGGCAGAAGCAAACCAGGAGAGAAAGTGAAGCCAGGGGAGTGTGAAGACACTGTCAGTTCCCTCTCAGGCTCTGAGCATTCTCCCACAATCTCTTCCCAACATCAGCTCTGTTCACTTAGAGGCACAACTTGGCTTTTTTGTGTTTCTCCTCCCACTAAGCTGCATGTCACCTGTCCCATCCCCCTCCTGAGGTGCAGCTGGCTCTGCTGGCCATCCTGTACCTGAGCCCTGTGCAGCAGGATGGGGACAGGAGGATGCTCAAGCCCCTCCTTGTGCCCTTGCAGAGGCAGAACTCGTCTCGTTTATTCCCTGTTCTTGTTCCCTGGCTGGAGGTGGGAGCTCAGTGTGAGCAGAGCAGTGCCCAGGTGTGGTGTTGGCACATTCTGTGAGCTCTGCACTCATGGTTCCCACAGGGAGCCTGCCCAGCCCGGGCTTGGGCACGGCCTCCCAGCCTCGGGGAGCCTCTGCCCGTGGGGTCTGGGTAAATCCCCTGTTCCCATGCAGGTGCTGAAGCCTACAAAGCCTCGCTGGGCAGCAGGGAGGTGCCTGGCCAGGAGAACAGCATGGAGTACATGGAGGTGTCCCTGGATTCCCTGGATCTCCGGGTGAAGGGAATCCTGTCCTCGCCAGCAGGAGGTGAGCGCTGGGGCTGGGGTGGAGGTGGGGATTGGGTTGGGGTCGAGGTTAGGTTTGGGTCTGGGTTTGGGGTTGGGTTTGGGGTCAGGCCTGGGTTTGGGGTCTGGTTGGAATTTGAGTGTGGGGCCAGGTTTGGGATCGGGAGTGGGTTTAAGGATCAGGTTTCGGGTCGGGTTTGGGATTAGGTTTGGATTTGGGGTCAGGTTTGGATTTGTGGTCAGGTTTGGGACCGAGTTTGGATTTGGGGTCAGGTTTGGGGCCCAGTTTGGATTTGCAGTCGGGTTTGGATTTGAGGTCGGGCTTGGGGTCAGGTTTGGGGTCGGGTTTGAGTTTGGGGTCAAGTTTGGGGTCGGGTTTGGATTTGTGGTCAGGTTTGGGGTCGAGTTTGGATTTGAGGTCGGGTCTGGGGTCAGGTTTGGAGTTGGGTTTGGGTTTGGGGTCAGGTTTGGAGTTGGGTTTGGGTTTGGGGTCAGGTTTGGAGTTGGGGTCAGCTTTGGGGTCAGGTTTGGAGTTGGGTTTGGGTTTGGGGTCGGGTTTGGGGTCAGGTTTGAAGTTGGGTTTGGGGTCAGCTTTGGGGTCAGGTTTGGAGTTGGGTTTGGGGTCGGGTTTACAGTTGGGCTTGGGTTTGGGGCCGGGTTTGGGGTCAGGTTTGGAGTTGGGTTTGGGGTCAGGTTTGGGGTCAGGTTTGCAGTTGGGTTTGGGGTCAGGTTTGCAGTTGGGTTTGGGTTTGGGGTCAGGTTTGGGGTCAGATTTGGGGTCAGGTTTGCAGTTGGGCTTGGGTTTGGGGTCAGATTTGGGGTCCCTTTGTTCCGCGGGCGGTGCCGTGCGGGGCCCCGGCTGCCCCCTGGCGGCCACAGAGCGCACAGAGCAACGGGAATGGGGCGGGATTGGGATGGGAATGGGAATGGGACTGGGATGGGAATGGGGGTGAGGATAGGGCTGGAGCGGGATAGAGATGGGGCTGGGACTGGGATGGGGATGAGAATGGGGGTAGGGATGGGGCTGAGATAGGAAAGTGGCTGGGATGGGAATGAGGATGATGATGGGGATGGGACTGGCTGCTATGAAGATAGGGATAGGTCTGGAGTAGGAATGGGAATGGGGTTGAGGATGAGGAGGAGATGGGAATGGGGCTGGGGGTGAGCATGAGGATAGGTATGGGGCTGGGATGGGGATGAGTGTAGGGATGGGGCTGGGATAGAAATGGGGCTGGGTTTGGAATGAGGATGATGATAGGGAGGGTGCTGGGATGGGATGAGGGTGTAGATGAGATCCAGTTCCAGTGAGGCACGTTATCTTGGGAATGCTCTCACCAAGGGTCCAAGGTACAGCCCCAGCCCTCCTGTCCCACTCAGCAGCTCCCCTCCATTCCCTAAAACGTGCTGATTCAGCATCCCCCCGGAACTGCTGCCACTGCCCCCTGAGGAGTGGCTCGTTCAGCCCTGGGAAGAGAAGGGACTGGTGCTGGTGCTGGGTGCTGAGCCCCAGCTGCTGCTCCCAGTGCTGAACTCTCCTCAATCCAGCATCCCCTGGCTGGGTCTGTCCCCACTGCTCCCTCAAAGGTTGTCTGGCTCCTTTGATAGAGGCACATCAAAGAGAGGGTAGGAGCCTTCCCCACCAAGGGAGGGTCAGGAGGGATGAGGGATGCTTTCACCAGAGCCTCTGGATGTCAAACAGATTAGGGAAGTGACAGCTCAGAGGGCGAGGAATGAGCTTTGTGATTTGTGCTCTCAGAGAAAACTCTTAAACCTCTAAGATCTTGACAGGATTTTACATGAAAACAGCGAGGACTTTCCCTGGCCTTGTATGTCTTGAAATATCCCTTTGCTAGTCTTGGGCTTGCAACTTGTTGGCTCAAAGAATTGCTGATGGGATGAAAGGAGCTTGTGCTTGTGTGGCAGGGTCAGAGCCATGGGCAGGGTGCTCTGGGGGAAGGCATTGCCAGGGCAGCTGAGGAGGAATCTCCCCCAGGGATGAAGTTAAATCTATAAAACCTCCCAGCAAGAAAACTCCTATTCCCGTTCAAAAGCTTGAAAAATAGCAGCAAGCTTCCTTCTCAGTGGGAGTCAATCCTGTAACAGTGGGCAAGGAAAGCTTGGGATGCTTCAGGGTGAGCCAGCCCAAAGGCTTCTGTGTCACAAACATTGCAGAGATGGTTTGGGAGAGGAGGGGAGGACTGGAATCACCCCCCTTGTCACCAGGCCAGTGTTTGGCAATCTTAAGTAACCCAGTGATTGATTTCAATCCAGAGGAATATTCCCACACTGACCCCCCTCAAAAGCCCTCATCCACCTTTCCATGGATTTGTAAATGTTCAGCATCTGAGAGGAGATGAGGAAAAGGCAAGAACATCGAAGCATCTTGCTGCTTTCTTTTCCCTGGTTTGTTCTCTTTCCAAAATAAATAATTCTTGGTTGGCTGACACCAAACAGTCCCAGGAATTTGGTTTTCCCATCTGTGTAATAAGCCTTTGCAAATAGGAGTTTGTGCTTTCCTGATCATCTCTATTTATCACTCCACTGCCTATTCAAATTTCCAGCTCTGGCTGCTTTCCTACAAATTTCCTGGTGCCAGAGCCCAGTGCTGTGGGGAGGGGAGAGTGGCTGATAAAAACCTGCTCCTCATTGCTTTGCCTTTTGGAGGTTTTCTCAGAATAAACTGATCTTAACTTACCACTCTTGATTTCAGCACAGTCAGCTGAGTGTGGCTGGACATGGAGAAGTACAGGAGGCTTTTGCAAACTCCAGCTGGTGTAAAAGGGTCTCTTATAGGGTGGTGCTAAAGCCTGGAGAGCATTTCAGGCCATGGAATGGGAAGATGTCACAGGACATGGCTGGTGTTGATGGACTGAATCCTTTCTCCTGGCAGAGAACTGGAGTTAATTCACTGGTTTTCTGTGCCCCAGGTCTCTCCAATGGCCCTGAAGCAATGGAGGTGGATGGTCTGCAGGAAGTGCCCCTGTGTAGCTGTCGAATGGAAACCCCCAAAAGCAGAGAGATCACCACGTTAGCCAACAACCAGTGCATGGCCACAGAGAGTGTGGATAACGAGGTAGGAGCCTGTCCTTTAGCTTCCCACAGCCTTTCCTGCTGAGGACAAGGCCATAAAGAGTGAAAAGTGTGCCAGGAGCACGTGTGGGGTCTCTCAGGACCTGCTAGACTGGGACCCCGTGGTGTGAGGAGTGGCAGGGCTGGTGTCCCCCTCGCTCAGCTGAGGGCTCCAGTACTCTGTGCCTGTCACAGCACCGGGGTGAGGCCCCTGGCAAGGGAGCAGCTGCTGTGTCTGCATCAGGAGAGCCTCTGGGTGGGTCTCTCAGGCTTGTCCTGGCCTGTGTGGCTGGGTCTGGTTGGTGTAATATTCACATTTCAAATGGGCTCAAATACAGGAACCTGCATCAGAGAGAGAAAATCCAGTCAAGGACTGGAGCTGGTTTCCCTTGACTATGAAGAAACTGCTGCAAACCTTTCTGTGGCCAGGTGTTGAGTTCAGGAGCTTGGCATGGCCTCTGCTGCCCCAGCCTTCCTCTCTCCTCCTCTCTTTCTGTCTCAAAGCTTCCATGTCCTGGCAGCTGTGCAGCCCCAGGTCTGACAGGGATTGCACTCCATGCCTTTGGGTCGGTCACAGCTGGGATGGTTGGGCTCTGCTGGTTCCACAAGTGTGGAAGGAGGTGGCAGAAGTGACTCCATTCCAAAATCTGGAAAGTGAGAACTGCAGGACAGGAATGCTCTTGATGGATTCTCCTTTTACTGGGAGGCACTTGAGTTTCTTTTCAGCTTCAGCCTCACTCCAGCACTCTCACACTCACCAGTGGTAGCACAAGGAGTGAGAATATCCCTAGTTCTCCTCTAGGATCTCAGGAGAAGGGTGGATGGAGGGACAAAGGGATAATCAGGTTTGTAGACCAGCTCTGCTTCTGTTAGTATGTGCTGGTACCTGTAGAGAGAGGAATTTCCAAAGAATGGCAAAATTAATTCATTAAAGAGAAGATTTCCTGGGAGACTCATCAGAGAGAGGGGGGACCCCTGGGTTTCTAAACAAACACAAAATGTGTGAAAGAATTTCTGCTCCTGGCTATGGTAAGTTGACAGTTCTGTCCCTGGATAAATCACAGGGAGGATTAGCAAAGGCCATGCTTTATGTTAGATTCTCTTTAATAATGGGATAAGTGACTCAGAGATGTTAGAGGAATATTATATGTGTGAATAGTGGCTTCTCCAGACTGTCATGTCCTTGGAGAGTGTTATAAATAGTTATGAGCACCCTGCTGCACTCTCTAATGGTTGGAAAATAGCAATTAATCATGTTGAACTTACTTTAGAGTTTCTAACAAATAATAAAGTGTGGCATAACAGTACAGGGTCTTCCTCACATGGGTAATGCAGCTTTCCACATGTCAGTGGGATTTCCTCAGCTCAGTAAAATTCCTCCTCAGGAAAAGATCCATCCCTTGTGCCATCCCTGCAGCCCCTGAGGTCAGGGTGGTGACAGGGATTAGTCTGGCCAAGGTATCCCAACCACAGGAAGTCTTTACAGTTGGAATTTGGGAAAGCTGAATTGGAGATGCCAGGGTGAATGGTGAGCTAGGTTAAAATCCATTATTTTTTCCCAGGGGTGTTGCTTCTTCAGGAGTGGAATTGAAAACAAATTAGAGAGAAAGTTTAGTTCTGTTGAGAAAAAGCAAATCCTTGGTTGGAGCAGAGGGACAGTCTGTGGCACTGAGTCTCTGACTGACTCTGTCATGAGGACAATAAATTCTCCACTTTCCATCCAAGGGACCCTTCCTTGGAGCAGCCTTTCACCTTTATATTCGTAGTTTATAAATCTCCTTGGCCAGGTGTTTGGGGAAAGCAAGATTATTATCAAGGGGAACTTGAAACAGAACCCAAAGAGTGTTGTGGGTTCATGTCACCACCATGCTGGCAGGTGACAGCTGGGCTGGGACAGTGTGGTGGCTGCAGGAGGTGCTGATCCCTCCTGGTGCAGCAGAGCAAGGAACACTGGCTGGGAACAGAGAACCCCAATTATGGAACCTGCTGCCACTAACAGGACAAGGTGGGGCACGAGAAGGCATGGAGGGATAGGAGAAGGGGGATGGCTTTAGGCTGGAGGAGGACAGATGCAGATTGGGCAGGAATTGTTCCCTGGCAGGGTGGGCAGGCCCTGGCACAGGGTGCCCAGAGCAGCTGTGGCTGCCCCTGGATCCCTGGCAGTGCCCAAGGCCAGGTTGGACATTGGGGCTTGGAGCAGCCTGGGATACTGGAGGGTGTCCCTGCCATGGTAGGGAGTGGAAGTGGAGGAGATTTAAGGTCCCTCCAACCCAAACCATTCCGTGATTCTGTGATTGTCTGATTTTTAAGCCCAGAGCTGTAGATTGGTGAAATCCTTTGGAAAACCTGCTCCAAACATGATTTTAGCTGAGCTCTCATGAAAGCCTGGCTCTTCATCCCTGTGGTCTGGGCAGGGGCCAGTGCTGGAAGCAGTACAGACGATAACTTCGCTGGCAATGAGGAGCAATTATTTTTCCCTTTATCTTCCTGTGAGTCGGAGTTTTGAGCAGTAACAAGATTTAGTGTGCATGGTCTCGTTCTCTTGGTCACTGACACCCGCTCTTCCTGGCAAGAGGAGAGTGTGTGTTGTGTGAGTCAGGCCCCTGGGACTGCCCCTTCTGCTGCTTGGCTGTTGCCTATTTCCAGTTATGATTTTGTTGTTGTTGTCTTTGCAAGGAACAAATGACTCGGGGTGCACATGCATGTTAGTTAGTAAATGATGCATTTCTTCCTGAGAGCAGCTTTCACAGCTTCCTGCTGCACTGCTAATGCTCTCTGGCACACAGCTGAATTCCTGTGAAAAAGCCAGGGCTCCTCGAGGCAGTGTGCAAAATCTTCCTCCGCACAAGCACAGGGAGTGTTGTGGTCTCCAGTAATTTCATTTCCTTTAATTTCTCCTGTTCCAGCTGGGCCGATGCACAAACAGTGTGGTTAAGTATGAACTGATGCGCCCGTCTAACAAAGTCCAGCTTTTGGTGCTGTGTGAGGACCATAGAGGGAGGATGGTGAAACACCAGTGTTGCCCTGGCTGTGGATACTTTTGCACTGCAGTAAGTCCGTGCTCTCAATCTAGGGAAGGGGGTACCTGTTGCAACAGCTGGAAGCTGAAGGTGGAGATGGTCCCTAAAGGGGTTTCCTGACTTCCTGGCATCAGCCCCACCTCATTCCACAGCACGTCAGGAGGTGTTTTCAATAGGAATGTGTGTGAGGGTAGCTGAAATCGTCACCTTTATCTTCCTGGAGACACCCAAGGGCTGTTACCAAAGGGATTTCACATGCTGGAAGTCTTGCCTTTGGAATTTCTTTGGAACAAGGGTTTGTTGTTTTTCTTTCTGTGTACAGATCAATCGCATCCAAAAAATGTCTTAGCTTGGTTTGTAAATGAACCTGTGCCCCCACCTCTGCATCCCCTCAGGATGGGGAGCCTGAATGATGGCACTGGACCAAGGCAGTGTTGGAGATCTCAATTAGGTTAGATATTAGGAAGATTAAATACTAGGAAAAAATTCTACCCTGGCAGGGTGGGCAGGCCCTGGCACAGGGTGCCCAGAGCAGCTGTGGCTGCCCCTGGATCCCTGGCAGTGCCCAAGGCCAGGCTGGACAGGACTTGAAGCAGCCTGGGACAGTGGGAGGTGTCCCTGCCCATGGCAGGGGGGTGGAACCAGATGGGATTTAAGGTCCCTCCCAACTCAAACCACTCCGTGATCTCCTGCTGCTTCTTCCACCTCTGCCACCGAGGCTTTTAAGGGACTTGGTGCAGTCCTTTAGTGGTCAATGTCCTGCTTTCCCTGTGGATAAAGCTGAAAGGCACCAACTGAGGCCTCACAGAGTGATGATGAGGCTTAATTGTGTGATGGTGGTGTTTTTCAAGATGACTGAAGGAAAGATGCTGCAGTAGTCTCAAGCATTACTGTAGTAAATGGAGCCATCCTGGGTTTTCTTGCTGATTCAAAGATCATTTAGAAGATAAAATCCTCAAAACCCTTCAAGGCATTTTGCAAAGCTGAAATAGAATTAATTAGATTGCTTGGAAGGACAGAATTCAGGAGAAGAGGGGCTTTGACTGGCCTTTCCTTGCACTCTCTTCCATCTCTCAGTGCTGTGTGCTGGTGCACAGAGGTGAACCTGGAGTGTTTGTCTGTGCCACCCATCACCAGCCCAGGGCACAGCAGGGCTTCAGGCAGCACTGACACCACAGGCAGGGAGTTCTGGGGTCCTGCACAGCAGTTGCAGGGACTTTGCTAGAAAGGGAAAAAATCATTTGAAGAGGAATTGCCCAGTTTGTTGCATGAGCAGTCAGCTTGTTTGGGTTAATTAGGCTGGTCCAGGCAGAAGAGTCCCACAGTTTGGGTTGTGGTGGGGTCAATGACAGATTCATGCAGGTTCTTGAATGGTTTGTGTACAGCTGTGTTTCAGGTAGTTTTAATGCTGGCTCAGCACAGGTCTGAAGTTTTCTTTTCCAGTTTTGGGGGCGTCCTTACAGTGCACTGGCACTTCTAGAGACAGAAGCGAGAACTTCAAGCGTTAGAGGGAAGAGCTGGAAATCGGGACTTCTTTGTTCTGTTTCCCAAGCACAATTCAAAATCTTGCTTTGCAGTCCTTAACCAAGTGAGTTTTTCCCCCTTTACCTTGGTTTTGTTCTCTTCTAAAGAAGTGGCAGTGCTTGCTTTACTGTACTGGACGCAGCAGGGCCGAGAGAGGTGATGAGAGGAGTGGCATGGAGCGTGTGAAGGGGCGAGGCACAGCCTGAGCAGGGCCTGAATTCCTTCTCTGTGGTTTTTTAAGGGCACTTTCATGGAGTGTCAGCCCGAGAGCAGCATCTCCCACCGCTTCCACAAGAGCTGTGCCTCGCAGGTGAACGACACCAGCTACTGCCCTCACTGCGGGGAGGAGGCCTCCAAGGCCAAGGAGGTGACAATAGCCAAGGCTGACACCACCTCCACGGTGTCCCTGAGCTACGAGCAGCAGAAACCCGCGGCTGTGGAGGGCAGGGCCGACACCACCACGGGCAGGTGAGCTCGGGGGGGATCTCAAATCTGCCAGACCAGGCTTTGGGTTGAATGTTTGGGCTCCTCCTGAGGAGCTGAGTGCTGCCTCAGGCTTTATCTGCAGGGGTGTTTCGTGTCACTCGCTGCCCCAGAGCTGAGGCAGAGGCTCTGGAGGTTGGGGGGTTCAGGAGTTTAACCATTCCTTTCTCTTATTGTGAGGAATGGAGTAATGGTGGAATTAATTGATATTGCCACGTTTGCTAAGTGACAGCAATTCCCATCTCGCACCCACAAGCACAAGTGCAAAGAGAGGAGGAAAACACAAATCAAACCAGCCCTGTGTTGGACTGTGCTCTGACTTTCTGAACCATCTGGCCTTTTTTAGGTGACTTTAAGACTTGCCCCATATGCCTGGGTCTCCTGTAGCACAGAGTACACCAAGATGTAGTCAGAGGGCAGTGCAGTTCCTTTCTGGGGCAAGTTCTTACTGAAAAAGCTGTTAAATAGATTGGTTTGGGTTTCGATTTCAGTTATACTTATCTGTATTTAAAATGCATTTGCTTTCCTTTTTTGGCATAAGAGAGACATTGTTGTGTATTTTTAATGGTTGTACTTTGGCTGTCTCTCATTTTTCCTCTTCAGTGGCACTGGGACGAGGTTGTCAGAGGAAGACAAGCCAGAAAGTTCGGCTGCTGAAGGGTTTGACATCGCTGGGTCTTCAGTTTTTCCAAAGCCTACAACTAGCTTGACCCAGGGACCAGTGAAAGAAACTCTGGAAAGTGCCCTGATTGCCCTGGACTCTGAAAAGTAAGAAAAAGATCATTGGGTCACTCCAGTTCCCAGCAAAGTTGCTTAGCCTAGAGAAAACAAGATTTAGCTTTTCTGGATTTTGGTCCAACTCAGAGCTTTTTGTGATCGCTTCATTCATTAGTCATCCCCAACAGATTTGGGAGAACTGTTACAGCTTTAAATCTCTTATTGATTTCTCTGGAGGATTTAGGTTTTTCACTGGCTCTTCAGCTGCAGCTGTAACTTCTGGGAGCTCCTGTTCACAGTAGTGAGACCCAGAATCTGTTATTGAGCATCACTGAACAGACCCAGCCCTCATTGGAACAGGACTGGCTGGGGCTGGAGCTGGGAGTTTTAAAACCTCTTTCTGGAGACTTGTTTTTCTGGAGCTGTTCAGAGAATCACAGAAGGTTTGGATTGGAACTGACCTTAAAGCTCATCCAGTTCCACCCCTTGCCCTGGCAGGGACACCTCCCACTGTCCCAGGCTGCTCCAAGTCCCAGTGTCCAGCCTGGCCTTGGGCACTGCCAGGGATCCAGGGGCAGCCACAGCTGCTCTGGGCACCCTGTGCCAGGGCCTGCCCACCTTCCCAGGGAAGGATTTCTTTCATATATTTAATCCTAAATTTCCTGTCTTTCAGTTTGAAGCCATTCCCTGTGTTCTGTCCCTCCATCCCATGTCCCCAGTCCCTCTCCAGCTCTGTTGGAGGCCCTTTAGGCCCTGGAAGGGGCTCTCAGGTCTCCCTGGAGCCTTCTTTCCTCTGGGTGACCACCAGCTGTCCCAGCCTGGCTCCAGAGCAGAGGGGCTCCAGCCCTTGGAGCAGCTCCTCTGGATTCACTCCAGATGCTCCAGGTCCTCCTCGTGTTGGGGTTCCCAGATTTGGAGGCAGCTCTGCAGGTTGGGTCTCACCTGAGCGAGGCTGCCCACGCTGGGGGATGAGGCCAGAACTTTGTCAGGCCCCTGGGTGGCAGTGGGTGACAGTGGGGGTGACATTCCTGGCTGCTCTTCCCTGGCCACTGATTGTTCCTCTCTCCCTGCTCCTGCAGGCCCAAGAAGCTGCGGTTCCACCCGAAGCAGTTGTACTTCTCTGCCAGGCAAGGGGAGCTGCAGAAGGTGCTGCTGATGCTGGGTAGGTGCCTCCTCCCCTGGCCAGGGCCTGTCTGGCAGCACTCCCAGCTCCTGCCAGGCAGTGCCAGCAGCCACTTCCCAGCATGGCACCACGTCATCGTCCCAGTGCCCCCGGGGAGGGACTCCTGTGGGTGATGTGTCATTGGAAAGGGCTTCCTCTCTCTGGGAAATGTGCACTGTTCCCCACTTGTGTCTGCATTTGGGTGTGGTTTTATCCAGATGAGCTGGTTGTGTCCCCAGAATGAGCTCTGTGTGGTTTTTCCCATCCCCTGCCCATGAGTGGGATACATTTTTGCATCCAGTAGAGAGGGAAAAGATGGGAGTCAGCTTAACCCAAGACCCATCAGCAAGAAAGCACAAAGGCAGAGCCTTCAGTCCATGGGGTTTGTTTTTGGGTACAGAGCTGCCTATCACCAGATGCCTTTGAGCTGCTGAGCTTGTTTTTAGCATCCAATATTCCCCAGGAATTTCCTCCTCTGAAGTACACAATATTTCCTCAGGATGCTTCCTTCCACTCCAGTACTTTGCTGGACATTTTTGGACACTTTCTGTTCTTGCCCTTTATCAGTTCTGTCTTTTTTTTTTTGTCTAGCAAGTGTTTGCTCCATTGTTCCTGTCTTCAATAGCACAGAAATGTTATTCATTGATATTTAACTACAGCCTCATCATACACAACATGTTATCATGCCCAGACATCTTTGTCTGGCTGTCAGCATCATCTGTCAGTCTCTGCACAGCTGTGAGAATCTCTGGCCAGATCCTGAGCCTGTGTGGAGAAATTCCATCCATGTTGCAGCTCTGTATTTGCAGGGGTGCAACAAGGATCACTAATATTAATTGCAGTTAATAGTGGTGAGACAGAGGCCAGGTGGTACCAACTCTTCGTTGTTCCCAATTTCTGGGTTGCTTTACACCAAGCAGCATTTTTTCCTTTTTTATCCTCGTGTGGTGTTTGTTGTTTTTGAGATGAGTTGTGAAGCTGAGGGATGTGGCCTTTGGGGAGATAGTAAAGCCTTAAAAAGGTATTGAATTCCATGCTGTTTCTAAGCTCTGGGTTTGAGGGCTGTTGCATATTGAATGTGCAGGGGACTGCCCTGAGAGCTTTCTGGTGAAATGTGCAGTGAGACGTGAGCAGGGCTGAGAATGGGCTGGGAACCCATCCTTTAAAAGCCTTTAGCTGAGACATCATTCTCCTGTTACACTTCAGTCTGAACTGTGGTTGAAAGTGTCTCTGCTCTGTTTTGCAGTGGATGGAATTGACCCTAATTTTAAAATGGAGCATCAGAATAAGAGAACCCCTCTCCATGCTGCTGCTGAGTCTGGCCACGTGGACATCTGCCATATGCTCATTCAGGTCTGTCTGCACCTCAACCCTCTGTACAAACCATTTGCTGTGGGCTTTGGTCTGCCCCACATGGAAATCAGCACTGGAAAATCCCTCCTGTAAAAAACCTGCTCATCCCAGGGTTTGCTGAGGGAGGAGTGGGGCAGAGTAACAGGAGGGGCTTGGAGGACACAGCTGGAATTGTCCTGCTGGGCTGTTCTCCAGGCAAGGAGCAGGGGAAGATGTGGTGCAGGGCACTGTGGGGCAGGTGGAATCTGTGCCTGGGCACTGCCAGATGTGCCAGCACAGGCTGACTGAGCTGCCAGATGTGCCAGCACCAGCACAGGCTGATGCACTGCCAGATGTGCCAGTACACCCTGATGGCACTGCCAGATGTGCTGCCAGGCTGAGGAGATCTCCAAGCTCTTGGTTTTGATTTCCAAGCCGGGTGGCTCTTGGTGATGAGGGCAGTGAGGCTCTGGAGCCTGGAAGCTGCCAGGCTCTGTCTTCCCTTCTGTCAAAACCTGAGGAGCTCCAGCAGGATTTTCCTCTGCAGCACATGTGGAAAGGAGTGAAGTGAAGATGCAAGTTTGCTTTATTGTCTGAGATTTGGATTCTGAGGGAAGATGGTCAAAGCCAGGGAGGTTGTTGACCTGCTCCAAAACAACATGCAGAAGAAAAAGAAGGATTTTAAAAGTTATAGTTTTTCTTTTTTGTACTGGTGTACCTGGTCTGGAGTGACTGGAGGTGTGTTTTGTTTCCCCTGTGGGATTGGGAAACCTTAAAGGGCTTTGGAGAAGGCAGCAGTGAAGGGCCCTTGGAAATGATCCTGCTGTGCTGGTGCATTTCAGCACCTGGAACTGGAGGCTTGCAGGTGGAGTTTGAAGGCAGCAATGGGCCTTCCTGGCTGCTCTCACTGAAATTACTGCATGTGGAGACATTGGAATGAGGAAAAGGAGCAAAACTTGTGAGATACTACAAACAATTCAATTATCAGTAGGATTGGTTTGTTTCCAAAGTGCTTCATCTTGTCTCTGTCTGAGGTCTGGCTTCTGCAGCAGCCCAGTGCTTGGCTGGGAATGGCCCCAGCCTGTTGCACTGGAAATGCCTCTCTGCTCTGATTTAAATAGCTTTGGCTGGAGAAAAGAGTCAAAACAAAGGAATTCAGTGGGAGGCACCTGGAAACAACTCCTTGTGCCAGGTGAACCTGAGTCAGCTGCTGTGAACAGGTCTGAGCCTCACACACACACACCTGCCAAGAGCTGTGTGCCTGAGACCTTTTGGGTTGAAGTTTTGGGTGGTTCCTGAGCTTAGCCCAAGGCAGGATAACCTGACAGAGGCATGGTTTGGAAAAGAGGGAGGTATTGGCTGAAGGCACTCTGGGTTGAACTGAACAGATGCTCAGAGACCTCTGTGGAAGTGGTGCCATTGACTTCCACAGGAATTTTTAGCCAATCCCCAGGATATTTTTTACAGCTCCTGCCTCTGTTGCAATCAGCAAGTTGTTCCTACTGCTTGTGACATTGAGAAGAGCTGGTTGTTGTAGTCTAAATGATAGACCAGGGAAAACAAAGCTGCTGGAAAAAGGAGGAGGCTGACTTTTCCAAATTGTTACACAAACAATATCTAGAAAGTAGGAGTACAAAATCTATTAATAACAGGAGTTATTTAATACCAGCTGTTGGCTTCCTTACAGTTCCTTCCTGCTGGGGAAGGCAGGAGAGGGTGCAGGCAGTGTGTGCTGTTCCAGAGCAGGTGATCTTGCACTGCCTTCTTTCCTGGGTTTATTTATTCTTTTTTATTCTTTTTTTTCCCCTGTTTAATATGGCTAGATTTCAGGAAAAAAAAAATCTTGTTATTAAATCTCTACTCCCACATTCTTCCTCTTGCTAATTGTCCTTGTCCTTGCCCTGGCCTCCCCCCAGGCTGGTGCTAACATTGACACCTGCTCCGAGGACCAGAGGACCCCGCTGATGGAAGCAGCAGAAAACAACCACCTGGAAACTGTGAAATACCTGATCAAGGCTGGAGCACTAGTAGATCCCAAGGTAGAAGCTTTATTCCTTACCTTTTTCTCCTGAGGAAGCCTCTGTCCCACTTTTCTTCCTGAAGTTTTGGGTGGAAGTGCCCAGGCTGAGGAGAAATGGGCTGGTTTGTCTTGGAGTGAAGGCTGGAGGTGTCATAATCTCCTTTTTCTGCTGGCCATGAGCTGTTTAGGGCAAGTGTTGCCACTTGTCCCTTCAGTTTGTGCCACCAAATGTCAGGCTGATTTGATTTCCTAAGTTTTAGTGCCATAAATCCATCGCAGTGGAGTTGGATTTCAGAGCTCCCTTCTCTGTAAACTCTAATAATGAGAGTTTTGGGGTGATATTTTAAAATGGGCTGGTAATTAGGTGCTTGCCAAGCCAGGAAAAATGAGAGAGGAAGCTTTCCTTTCCAAAAGACTGATGTGTGGATTCTTGCAGTCATGCTGCAGTGGCAAAATTGAACCCCATCTTTAAACTCTACCCCTTAATTTAAAACAAAACAATAAAATGCAGCTGTCTCTTTGCCTTTAGCATGCTCTGGTTGCTTTGCAATCTTGGAAAATACACAGATCATTTATTAGTCCCATAAATCAGATGCTATTTGGAGCACAGGAACCCTCCCCATGCGAACTTATTGTCACAACCTGCTGCTCTTGGCTGGGTTTGTGAAGGAACTGGCACCATTGCAAAGGTATCAGGTGCTGCCCAATCCAGGCCCTAAATGGATCCTTGGGAGGCTGGTTCTGAGCTGGGAAGGGGGAAAGGACAGGACAGGCATGTGGGGGTTCGTGCTGGCCACTGTCCCCAGTGCCTTGGAGCAGCCCAGACATCTCTCACCTGAATTATTCCTGTGGAAGAGAAAAGAGGGGAGTTTGTGCTTCTGAAGGTCAAGGGAAGGAGATAAATTCTGAGCTTGCAAAAGCAAATTAGAAGCTTCAGATCACATCTGAGGTCTAGGCTAGTTTATTATGTTAATTAGTTTCGTGCACCAGCTCAGGCCTTTGTTTGAAAGCAGCAGCATTGGTTTGGAAGCAGCTGCAGCCATTTCCATGGGAAATCCAGCCCTTACCTGGGGCAGGTGTGTGCAGAGCTCTGGGACTGCAGGGGAGGGAGCTGGGTGAGGTCCCCCAGTCCCTAGGGCTGGTCCTGTTACCAGCATGGAAAAGCCCCACTCAAAACCTGAAGAAACTTGACAATAAAATCTGCCTGCTCTCCGTGGGCTGAGGAGCTGCACTTGGCTCTTGCCAATCCAAGGGGAAAGCTGTGGAATTATTCAGCTGGAGCAGGCACTTATGGGGGTGTAGAAATTCTTTCTGTGTCCTGAGGAGCCCTCCTGGTGCAATCCCTGACCTGAGATGTCTCCTCCTTGCTCAGAGAGTTGCTCCCTCACCCTGCATCACATCAGCTCCATCCCAAAGCTCTCACCTCCAGCGTTGCTTCCAGGGATTTAGCTGGAGGGAGTAATTTGGTTTTCAGTCTTTTGTTTCCTCCTCCTGATTTCCTGCTCTCTGGGCCTTGCTCTGTGCTAAGCTCTAGGGATATAAATGCCTGATAAAAATCAGGCTGCAGCCAGAGAGATCTGTGGTGTGAGGGTGGGAGCATCTCCACCGTGACTCACAGCCTGTCCATCTCCTCCAGGCCCTGCATTCCCAGCTCCCAAAGGCATTTTTCCTTTCAGCCTTCAGGGTTGTTTTTTCTCTCCTGTCTGGGCAGATGGCTGTGGGCAGGCTGGGGACCTGGCCTGTCTGGAGAGAGACACCACAGCCCTGGGCCCTGCTGCCAGGTGCCGGGGTGAGGCCTTGGGCTAACCAAACTCAGCAAACAGCCTGGAGAAATGGAGCATTTCAAATTGACACAAAGCCATTTCTCAGATGTGAAGTGCAAACTTTGCCTGTGTAAGGGATTTCTGCTTCCCTTTGGCTCTCCAGCACATGGAGAGGAGTGGGGAAGGGGCTGTTGGAGATGGGGGGCATCGCTGCCAAGGTTTGGAGCTGGTGCCTTCCCCAGGCTTTGCAAAGCCCTTTGCACTCTCAGCCTCCTCCTCTGCCCGGGTGAATCTCTTTGGTGTAAAGCTCCCAAGTTCTGCTCAGTGCTGGCCCTGGCTCCTGCTCTCTGCCCTCCTGACAGTGGGGTGGAGACTTTTGGAGTTCTCTGCTCCATCTGGGGACTTGTCTGCTGTTCCTGAGCATCCCTGAGGGTTTGTTGTGTGTTTGTGTGCAGGATGCCGAGGGCTCCACGTGTCTGCACTTGGCAGCCAAGAAGGGGCACTATGACGTGGTGCAGTACCTGCTCTCCAATGGGAAGATGGATGTCAACTGCCAGGTGAGGCCTTCCCTGGGCCAGCAGCTGCTTTGCCCAGGTCAGGGACTCCCTCAGCACTGTGCTCACACCCTCCTGCTGCTGGGGGACACCTCCAAATCATCACAGGGTGACAATTCCGTGTGCCTCCTGTCTGCCGGGGAGGGTGATCCCCTCACTGACCTCAGGGAAACTTCCCTTGATTTGTAGTTTCTCCTTGGCCTTGAATTTTGTGTGGAGCCTGTTGTCCCTGTGTTTTTCCTAGTGGGGGGATCATGGACAGTGGTGTGGGATGGGTTGAGCCTGGCACTTGTCACTGTGGGGTTTTTCCATTGCTGTGGGGTGAGACAGAGCTGCACCTGGGGCAAGGGCAGGTGCCCCAGGCTTCTCAGGGAGTTTCTGTAAGGTCTTTTATAGAGCCTGGCTGTGCCCTTTGGACAGTCAGGTACCTGAACAAGCTGGACATGCAGTGCCAGCCTGCTGAGCTGGAATCAGGTGCCTGGCTCAGGTGTGCTGCTCCAGCCACGCTGGCTTCTGCAGGACCTGGGGGACCTGCAGCACTGCAGACAGGAGGGGAGTGAGGAGAGAGCCAGGGGGAGGGCAGGGGGGTGTGGGGAGCCAGGCTTTGTCTGTCCTGTGTGTCACCCTTGCTGTCCCTGCCCAGGATGATGGTGGCTGGACACCGATGATCTGGGCCACGGAGTACAAGCACATCGAGCTGGTGAAGCTGCTGCTGGCCAAGGGCTCTGACATCAACATCCGTGACAATGTAAGGCTCCCCTGGCATCTCCTGCAGAGGTGACAATCTCTGTTTAAACCCCAGACACGGCCCAAGTGACAGATTTTGGGCTCAGTCCCTTGCCACAAAGTAATTGAGAAGTGTTTGGTGAGAGTTTTCCTGCATTCTGGGAAGAAGTTTGGCAGCTTGTGGCATGTCCTTTCCCTCCAGCTGCTCTGTCCCAGCCTGTGAGGATGCTGTGTGGAATTCTCAGAGCTCTGAGCCTCACTGATTCCCATCCCTCTGGCCCACTGTGCTGCCACTGGACAATGGCAGATCCCCTTTAGTCCAGACTTACCAGCTCCATATTTGTCGCAGGCCAGTGACTCTGGGTCACACACTGTGTGCCTTTTGAGGGGAATGAGCTCAAATTTGTGTTTCTGGATGGGCTGGGCACTCTGCCAGCAGCTCTCAAAGCCTGGCTTTTCCTGGGCATCACTGGCACAAAGCTCTGATGTGTCCAGAGCATGGCCAGGCTGGCAGCTCAGGCTGGAGCTGGCTGCCCTTCACTCCATAAATCCTGCTCCAGTGCAGGTGCTTGGGTCCCTGGGAGCTCTGTGGGACCCCCAGTGCTGCCTATGGGGCTGTGCCTGCTGCTTTCCCAGGGATTTACAAGGAAATTGAGAAGATACAAAGGAGATACAGTCTCTGCTTTTTTTCTCCAGGGGAGTCATTGTATCAGCACTGCTCCTCTGTTTTCCTTATACTATGTTTCTCATTTTTATCTTGGAGTCTCTAAGGATACTGAAGTGTGGTGTCTCACCCCATTCCTGGAAGTGTCCAAAGCCAGGTTGGACAAGGTTTAGAGCAACCTGAGAATAGTGGAAGGTGTCTCTGTCTGTGGCAGGGGGTGGCACTGGATGAGCTTTGAGGTCTCTACCAAACCAAGCCTAACCAAAGCAAACCCCTCAGTGTTCCTGTGATTGTGTGGTTTAACCCCAGCCAGTCCCCAAGCCCCCCACAGCCCCTTGCTCACTCCCCCTCCAATGGGGAGAGAATCAAAGGGGTAAAGGGTAGAAAAAGACTCGTGGGTTGAGATACAGTTTAATAGGGAAAGCCAAAGGCACACACACAAGCAGAACAAAACAGGGAATTCATTCCTTGCTTCCCGTGGCTGGGCAGAAGTTCAGCACCTGCAGGAGAGCAGGGCTCCACCCATGGGTCAGTGACCTGGGAAGACAAAAACCATCACTCCAAACATCCCTCTTCCTCCTTCATTCCCCATTTTATATCCTGAACTGATGTCAGATGGTCTGGAATATCCCTTTGGTCAGGGTCACCTGTCCTGCTGTGTCCTCCCAGCTTTCCATGTCCCCCAGGCTCCCCCCAGTGAGGCAGCACGAGGAGCAGAACAGGCTCTGTGTCAGCCCTGCTCAGCAGCAGCAAAACCATCTCTGTCACCACTCCTGTGTTCAGCACAGCCTCATTCCAGCCCCTGGGAGAAATACTAACTCTACCCCAGCCAAACCCAGCACACTTACATAGTTCCCAGTCCCAGGCAGGTCTGGAACCAATCCTGTTCCTAAAAAGAAAAGGGGGCTTTTTGGGCTGTTACATCTGCTTTCTGACTCTGAACAAAACAGACTCTTTGTTCTGTCACAGCTTCGACATCACACGTTAATGATGAACATCAAATCAACTCAGTCAACAATTTACATGAAAGAAAATGTGCTCTTAACAGCTGTGTGTGTCACACTTCTATCCTGGACCTGCAGCTGGGGTGTCCTGATGGATGTGGTTGAGGACAAATGTCAGTCGGGCTGGGAAGCATCCTGCTCTGGGAGAAATGCTTTTGACTGTGGTGATGCTGCTTTTTAGGCAGGAGCAATGCAAGGCAGAGCACCAGTCCAGGTGTCTGTGACCTGTCTGAGCTGCAGCATGTGGATGCAACCACAGGATGGATGTTTTCTGTAGATTGTATGGGATTTTTCTAGATGCTGCTGTAAGGGGAAGCAAGTGCTGGGTAGAAAAGTGTTTCCCCTTTCCTCATGTGTGGCAATAGCTCCCTGTTTAAGGCAGGACCTTAAGTTATGTGATAACAGCTCAAACACTCCAGCAGCAGCTTTGTTTTTGCTTTAAAAAGAAGAAAAAAAGAGAATAGCTGGGTGATCATTACTATCATTTCACTGTTGTCATCGACGTCTTTAGAGCCTGTCATGGGGAAGGGATCGACGTGTGCTGCAAATTGCAGTGTAACAGAAAACAGGATCATCCCTTAAAATATCTCCATCAGAAAGATGAGTGTTCAGCTATTTCCAGTGCTGCTAGTGAGAGATGAGTACATACAGTATTAAAGAGATGCCTGGAGTCAGATTGATTGCTTACCCCATGGCTCCTGGTTATCTTTTTGGCACCTGCACGAACCCTCTGTGCTCTTTTCCTCCTTCATTTCCTGCTGTGCTCTTTTTCTCCTTAATTTTGCAGCCCTGGGAGGCACAGCAGCTTTCCTGGATGTATGGGCTGGGGAAACTCAGCTTCCAGCCTTTTCCAGCATGTTTGTTCATGTCTGTCACCTCTTTCCTGGATTGATCCAGATTGGTTTGTGGCTTAGAGACAGACGAGCTGTCTGTGTGTGTAGGAAAGGTGATGGATTGCCTTGTGTGCAGCCTCCCTGTCCTTGGTGTGCAGAGGTGGATGGAGTGAGAACTCCCTGTTTGGCTGCTCTAAGGTTTCCCTGTCCAGCCTGGCATTCCCAGAGCAGGGAGGGGATGGCAGCCACTGAGCACTGCAGGTGCAGAGCTGACGAAGGTGAGATCCCAAAGCCACGGGGTTTTAAACAATCTCCACTCTGTTCTCTTTCCCTCCAGGAGGAAAACATTTGTTTGCACTGGGCTGCTTTTTCTGGCTGTGTTGACATAGCTGAGATCCTGCTGGCAGCAAAGTGTGACTTGCACGCCGTGAACATCCACGGGGACTCGCCCCTGCACATCGCGGCGCGAGAGAACCGCTACGAGTGTGTGGTGTAAGTGCCCTGCCCGCCCCTCCCTGCCTCCCTGGTGCTGCCTGCCAGCCTCAGGACAGCCTCTGAAACGCCTTTGGCCTCTCCACACAGCCCAGGATTGGGATGGAGGCCTTGTTTTTCTCCCAGGGGTGGGGGGTGTGAGGTCCCAGCTGCTGCCAGAGCTGGTCAGAAGATGTGGAGTTGTTCTGGAGTCTGAGGGGCTGTGCTCAGCCTGGGCTTCCCAGCAGGAAGGTGTCAGCTTCCTTGATTAAAGCTTTTTTTTCCCCACAACTAGCATGGTAACAGGGTTTTTCCTTTGCTTCATCCCTGCTCTGAATAAAGCCAACATGTTCTCACCAAAAGCTGGTGAGTATAAACAAGGGCCAAGTCCACCAGCAGTTTCCTGTGGGACTCTTCCATTTCCAGCCTACTCTTCCCACCCCATATCTTTCCCTGCCAGAGAGAGTTTCAAGCCTGTCTGAAGTTAGGCTGGTACCAGCAAGGTACCTGAAGCAAGGCAAGGTTTGCCCAGAGCTCTCATGGGTGCCCAGAGCTCCCGTCTGTGGCTTCTGTCAGAAGGATTCACTGAACCATGCTTAATAAAGAAAACTCAGGTGATTATTCACTACTACAGATTCTTCCTCGTCCCTTAAGGGCTGGCTGGAGGATGTGATTCAGCTTGTTTTCCCCTTGCCTGGTTTCTCCTGGGGAATCCTTATCCTTCCTTGCTGTTTTGCAGTCTCTTTCTTTCCCGTGGCTCCGATGTCACTTTAAAGAACAAGGAAGGTGAGACCCCGCTCCAATGCTCCAGCCTTAACTCTCAGGTCTGGGTGGCCCTACAGATGAACAAGACTCTTAAAGAATCATCTTCTGAGAAGCCTGCCCAGATAGACAAGGTCGTGAGCAGGTGAGAATAGGGCTGGCTTGGCTTGGGGGTCATGAAATTGAGCCCTTGCACAGGGAAGGCTGGGGGACCTGGTTTAAGAGAGAATTGTGTAGCTTCTTAAACTGGTGTGAAGTTCTGAGCTAAGTGTGAGCTTAGCAAGAACTAAGCCTGTGCTGATTCAGTCCATGGTTTGCAAATTCATCCTCCAAATGGAAATATTCACAAGCACAAAGAGCCATCTGTAAGGCAGGGTGGGAAAATATGAGCTCTGTTCTAGTCTGAATGTCCCTGAGTGCTCAGTGCTCAAAGCCAGGGATTCTGCCCCAGGATGGCATTCGAATGGCTCCTTGTCTGGGGGCACTTTCCTTCTGTGACAATTCTTTCTCCACTGACAGAGACATTGCCCGGGGTTACGAGCGGATCCCCATTCCCTGTGTCAACTCCGTGGACAGTGAGCCCTGTCCCAGCAATTACAAATACGTGTCACAGAACTGTGTCACCTCCCCGATGGACATTGACAGAAACATCACTCATTTACAGGTGAGGGATCGTGCTTTGTTCCTGTTCTGGGCTGTGCAGTGCTCCTCAGAACAGCTTTGGCATTCCACATGGGAATGTTGAGTCCTGATATTGCCATCGAATTCCAGCTAAGGCTGAGTGCCTCACCTCCAGCTCTTGTTGTAGGAGATGGGATTTTGATTCTCTTGTTTTGAGGCTTAAGCTGAGCTCTGTGTTCATCTGTAGCATTGGCCATCTGGTGCTTGCTGATGTGGCTCCCATTTATCCTTGTCCTCTCTACTGAGGCTGGAGAGTTGAGAGACCTTCTCCATGCTGCCTTCCCTTGGACTGCAGCACCCAGGCCGAGGTCTTGGCTGTGACACTGCAGTCCTGGAAGGGCTGGGTGGGGAAAGCAGAGATGGGGAAGTTGAGAGTGAGACGTTGCTGGGCACAGCTCTGAGGTGGCTGAGGTGACCTTCAGGGCCAGTCCCTGTTGTGCAGCAGCCTGGTGGTGGGGCTGTGCTGGCTTGGGGATGCTGGGGAAGCAGCAGGAGAGGACTGAGACAGCACAGCTGCATCATGTCCCAGCTCTGGTCCCTGCCTGGAGCTTTCCACGTCCTCTGGTGTGGAGAGCAGCTCACAGGGCTTGGGGGAGGGTTAACAACAGGGAACATCCTCTCCTGAGCAGAGGCTCAGAATGAGATCCTTCCTTGCAAGGCAGAGTCCTCTGGTGCTCATTGCACACAGAAATAAACAATGGAGGAGAACTGCCCCTGCATGGTGAAGCAGGTGATCCTTCTGGCTGAGGAGCTGCAGCAAGGGGAGGAGATGTGGTGTCCTACCCAGTCACCAGTTGCAGTCTCAGTTGTGTGAGTGGTGTGGAATTAACCCTTTGTTTCTCTTGCAGTATTGTGTCTGTATAGACGACTGCTCCTCCAGTAACTGCATGTGTGGCCAGCTCAGCATGCGCTGCTGGTACGACAAGGTGAGGACACACAGCCCCCTCCTGCCTCACACCACGGCCTGGGAGCTGAACTTGGCCTCATTCAGCTCCTTGGACAGGGCTTAGAGCTACCCTGTTCTAGTGGGAAATGTCCATGCCCATGGAAGGGGTTGGGATGAGCTGAACTTTAAGGCCCCTTCCAACCCAAACCGTTCCCTGCTTCTGTAATTCCAACTCCTTTTTTCTTGTCTTAAAATGCCTGAAGTTCTAATCTCAGCTCTGAGACATGTGTGATAATCCAAACTGCATGCTCAGGGCAGCTTTTCTTGTGTTATTTATTTGTGTTCCCCTCGTGCCAACTGAGCCATTAATTACACCCATGTGATAGGGAGCATGTAATAATCCATGTGTGAAATCAGCTTCCATTGCAGGACGTGGAAAGTGCTGTAAGATGTAAACAAAGGCAGGGGAGTAGAAAGATTTTTTTTTTTTTTTAATCTGCTTTTATTTATTGTGATTCTTCTGGATGAAGGCAGAGTAAAGATGTTTTCACTGCCACGTTGCCAGAAGTCAGGTTTGTTTTGGCTAAATGCTTCAACCCTCCAGGGAAGTTTTGAGATTCATCTTTGGGCAGGTGCTGCAAAGATCAGAAGTTCTGTGAATCTCTGCAGGTTTTTCCCAGGGGAAGTGTTGGCATCTTTCTTGGCTTTGTAGCCATTTTATTTACACATTAATAGGTGATTACACCTCTCAAGTCTTAAAAGCCAAATTTGTTAAACATGATAAATTGCATCCATCACTTCCTTAATCCTGTATGTTGGTAAATAATTGAACTGTAGCTTTTTTTGGGAGTAGTATTTGGGAAGGTAGTGTGGTTCACAGAACTTGGATGTACTGGCCTTGGACTCTGCAAGTTCAGGCTCTATTCCAGAGGCAGACTAAGCATCCACTTCTCCCCTCCAGCACAGCAAATGGCAATAATGATGATGATGCACATCACTTCTCTGCACAGCACCAGGATGTATTTTTTTAATGCTGTGTAGGGTGATGGCAGGCAGCAAAAATCTAAATTCTCTGGCTGTTTGTCAGCTGTGGGTGACAGTGGTGACTGTGCTGCTGTCAGGGCAGAGCAGAACCACTGCAGAGCCTGAGCTCTGCCACTGGCTTTGGGGAGCTTGGGGCACGACTCCACCGTGGGGATTTTACCCTGAGGGGGAATGTCTGCCCGCGGTTTTGGGGATCCCAGGAGCAGACAAATAACCAGTCTGGGGTGTCTCTCTGCTCAGGATGGCCGACTCCTGCCTGAGTTCAACATGGCTGAGCCCCCCCTGATCTTCGAGTGCAACCACGCGTGCTCGTGCTGGAGAACCTGCAGGAACCGTGTGGTGCAGAATGGCCTCAGGTGAGCAGGAGGGCCAAACACAGCAGATCTGGCCAGGAACAACCCCAAAGCCAGGAGCTTTCTGGCTCTCAGCTCACCCATAATCCCACAAAACCCAGCACAGAAGCTGGGGCTGGTGGGATGGAAGTGGGTTCCTGCATGCTGCTGGTGGGAATGAAGCAGCAGTGGGTTGATGAGCTCAATTAACATCTCAGTTAATATTTGCACCCTGCCCGTGGTGCCCATGGCACCATCAGGTGGGAGCTGCAGGGTTCTTTCATCAGCTGACCATAAAACATAGAAAATGTGGGATTGCATGCACAGCCCAAGTGTGGTGTCTCAGGGGGAGAGCTGAGAAGGACATGGCAGCAGCAGAGCTGCAGAGGCTGAATTCAGCAAGTCTTGTAAGCCAGCAGTCTAGATTAGAAATACAGGCCAGCATGCCCAGACTTGGCTGCTTAAAATTTCCAGGTTCTTGGCATGATTCCCCCTGAACTGGGTGCCTCTTGGCCTCACTGCTGCAGGTTAGACTGTTGGGATTTTGGTAACTGGCTAAAAATGTCAATGTTTTGGTTTGGATCTCTGCTATGGTAGATTTGCCACTGCACTGAATTCAAAGGCATCCCACTGGAAAAGAAAAGACTTTAGAATTTCTTTGTAGTGCTGACAACACTTTTTTTTGCAAGCTTTGTAGTTTCAATGACATTTTGCAGTGTTAAAAATAAGCAAGGAAGAAACTGGATGTGTTTCCTGAGAACTTTACCTTTCTCTGGTTTTCCCTGCCAGGCTCCGAGTGACTCCGTGGGTGTTTCTTTAGGAGCTGTACAGCCAGAGCTGTTGCTTTTGCACTTTTTGACTTGCTAAAATGTTTTTTTCTGAAAGATGAGAAGGGTTGGGAACCCAACCACGAGCTGGGGAGAGCAGCTCTGCTGGGAAGGAGGGTCAGGTGCTGGGCAGAGCTCACAGTCCCTGGGGAGGCAGGGGGCAAGGTCTGCCTTGGGGCTGCAGCTGACACAGGGGTGCTGCTGCTCCATTTTCAGTGCTTCCTTTATCAGATTGGCTCCAAATGAACTCTGCCTGGCAGAGCACACGTATCCAGCTGGCAGCCTGGCCCAGCTCAGCTGGCAGACTCAGCTCAGAGCCGTGGTCCCCCTGCTGCTGGTGTCAGATCTGAGCTGGGCTCTGCTCTGCTCTGATGGACAAGCCAAAAGCTGGGGGAGCTTCCCCAAGCCCCAAACCCAGCGTTAGACCCCACTTCTCTGAGAGCAATCACTCCCCCGAGGTCGTGGTTTGCCCTGGTGAAGCTGTGGGCAAACAGCATAAAATTCACATCCCTTGGTTTGAGCTGACAGTGCAGGAGGGAGTGGGTGGGGGCAAGAGAAGTACTGGGAAAAGCAACAGGGTGAAGTTAAGGTGAGCATCAGATTTCACTTAATTCCGGTAACAGCATTGCTGAGAGTGGGTTTTGGTTCCCTCAGGGATAGAGCAAGCTTTTCCTAGCCCTGGAGACTGTTCATCCTGCACTTAACTCAGGTTCTGGCTGAGCACGAGGCAGAATGACTTACAGGATTGTTTCTCTGCCTATAAACCCCATCAGTAAAATTCCACAGAGCAGCTATTACACCAAGAAGTCTCAAGTTGCAGCTTTTCTTTCTTGTCTTTCAGCCAGGCAGCTGGATATGATGGAATTGCTGAATGCCCTGGCTTTGGCAGAGGGCAGAGGGGTCAGAGCACTTAGCTCAAGGTGTTCTTTAGTCCCTGGGAGCTCCCTGCCTTTTCCCTCAGCACCACTCCCTGCACACCTCTACTGCTGTAAATCCCCTTCCACCTTCCCTGCTTTGCCCAGGGCTGCATGGAGAGGAAGGAAATGCTGCTGGTGGGATTCTGATATCCTCTGTAAATCATCATCACACAGAGCATCCAGCCCTGTCTCCTCTTCCCCAGCCCCTTGGCGTGCACCTGGGCAGGCAGAAGGGGCTGACTGGCACCTGTCCCTTGTCCCTGGGATGTTTCCATGCCAGCATCTGCCCACAGCTGGGAGCTGTGGGAGTGGAGCATCCCTGCAGGCTGAGAACGAGAGGGTGAATATTAAAATCCCCTGGGAGTGTGTGGTGATGGAAGGTGCTGGCTTTTTGCTCATCTCTCCATGAAAATTCATTCTTTCCATGGAGTGCTGCTATCAGTGTGGCTTCATTTCTTCTTTTCCTCTTTTGCAGGACTCGGTTGCAGCTTTACAGGACACAAAAGATGGGCTGGGGAGTGCGGACGATGCAGGACATTCCTCTGGGAACCTTCGTGTGCGAGTAAGTTCAGCTTTCACCAGCCCAGCAAATCCCATCCATTC